ACCAGACCACACACTAGAAAGGGACGACGACGTTTCAGTCCGTCCTGGACCATTCTCAAGTTGACAATAGACTGTTTATAACTGAAGAATTACCAATATTGGGATATTTTCCTTTGTCAATAATGGTGTATCCCCTTCTTCTTATTCTTTCTCCTCTTCGTCCCTCTCCTGCACCTCCTCTTCGTTCTCCTGCACCTCCAACTCCTGCTGCTCAGCCTCCACCACCACTCGAGCAGAGAGCTGCGCCTCAAGCCCGGGCTACTTGTCCCAAGCAATTAGCGTTTGACCTGCTACTTCAAAGGGAAAATTCGTGATGATTGGCCAATAGTAGAGGGACCGTCAAGTAGGTGCGAACTGCTTAAGAGGGAGGTGGAGGCTCGATCAATCGAGAGAGAGAGAGAGAGAGAGAGAGAGAGAGAGAGAGAGAGAGAGAGAGAGAGAGAGAGAGAGAGAGAGAGAGAGAGAGAGAGAGAGAGAGAGAGAGAGAGAGAGAGAGAGAGAGAGAGAGAGAGAGAATTAGAGAGAGAGAATTAGAGAGAGAGAATTAGAGAGAGAGAGAATTAGAGAGAGAGAATTAGAGAGAGAGAATTAGAGAGAGAGAGATGAGATAGAGAGAGAGAGAGAGAGAGAGAGAGAGAGAGAGAGAGAGAGAGGGAGAGAGAGAGAGAGAGAAGAGAGAGAGAGAGAGGAGAGAGAGAGAAGAGAGAGAGAGAGAGAGAGAGAGAGAGAGAGAGATACAGAGAGACAGAGAGAGAGAGACAGACAGAGAGACAGAGAAAGAGACAGAGAGAGAGAGAGAGCAGGTCAATTACCGAGACTGGCCGTCCTCACTATGGGCAAGCTTCACACATTGTCCACACCAATCATCATGATCCCCTTAATCTGGGTAATTAATGAACTCGTCTGTTTGGTCTAACTGTGCCTACCTAACAGTGCTTCTGGGGCAGTGAAGTCTAGCTCTGTATGGCTCACCTTTTGCGTCTTACACTTGATTATTATCATTGTTTATTTTGCCATTCAAAGTCCTTGTTGTATCTGGTCTTAAAATTGTAGATGGAGGTGGCTTCCACGACTTAGTGCACTCCACATGTTCAAGTGAACAAGTCCTCTTGTTCTACTTTCTCTCAATTTAAAGAAACTGTCTTTGTCCACCTTCTTTATTGCCCTAAGTATCTTATATGTCGTGATCATATCCCACTCTGTTTCTCCTCTCTGTGGTTGGGCCGTTTAGTTCTCACAAATATATCCTCGTAGTTCAGGCATTAGTATTGTACAGAATTTCTCACTAATTAAATATTGTGCTTTACTGGGTGCAGATTCCATGCCGAAGCTGCATATTCTAGTATTGGTCTTACATAGGTTGTATAGATTGTCTTGAAATAATCTTGTACTCAACACTGAAGCTACTGATGTATTTACGAATAGTCTTTCAAAACGGTGTATTCTCTAGACTTCTAGTCTACAGTTGTATTCTACGCATCTCTATATTTGTACTACAAGTACAATGTACTTCGTTATGCAGGCGAGGAGTCACAATAACGTGGCTGAAATGTGTTGACCAGACCACACACTAGAAAGTGAAGGGACGACGACGTTTCGGTCCGTCCTGGACCATTCTCAAGTCAATTGTGTCGATAGTACTTCGTTATTTTTTTGTGTGTATTCAACGGTTATTTTAAATGACCGGTTCTCAGGGACACGTAAAGTGACCAACCACCACCACTGTGGACACGTGAAGTGACCAACCACCACCACTGTGGACACGTGAAGTGACCAACCTCCACCACTGAGGCACGTGTAGTGACCAACCACCACCACTGTGGACACGTGAAGTGACCAACCACCACCACTGTGGACACGTGAAGTGACCAACCACCACCACTGTGGACACGTGAAGTGACACAACCTCCACCACTGTGGACACGTGAAGTGACCAACCACCACCACTGTGGACACGTTAAGTGACCAACCACCACCACTGTGGACACGTGAAGTGACCAACCACCACCACTGTGGACACGTGAAGTGACCAACCTCCACCACTGTGGACACGTGAAGTGACCAACCACCACCACTGTGGACACGTGAAGTGACCAACCTCCACCACTGTGGACACGTGAAGTGACCAACCTCCACCACTGTGGACACGTGAAGTGACCAACCTCCACCACTGTGGACACGTTAAGTGACCAACCACCACCACTGTGGACACGTGAAGTGACCAACCTCCACCACTGTGGACACGTGAAGTGACCAACCTCCACCACTGTGGACACGTGAAGTGACCAACCTCCACCACTGTGGACACGTTAAGTGACCAACCACCACCACTGTGGACACGTGAAGTGACCAACCACCACCACTGTGGACACGTGAAGTGACCAACCTCCACCACTGTGGACACGTGAAGTGACCAACCTCCACCACTGTGGACACGTGAAGTGACCAACCACCACCACTGAGGCCACGTCAAGTGACCAACCACCACCACTGAGGCCACGTCAAGTGACCAACCTCCACCACTGAGGCCACGTCAAGTGACCAACCTCCACCACTGACAAAGACCAACCACACACATTAGCTGATTACCCCGAAGACACTCCGCTCCGCTGGGCCGATACAACTGGCTAATTTCCCGCCATTTGCTAGAGCAAACCTTTTGGCGGGTCAGTTCGCGGTTTTAAAATATTTTGGACTTTCTCGCTAAAGTTCCCTGCTATAGTTTATACTTTAGGCTAACTCAAGGTTTTAAAAGATGACTTTACATAATTGCTGATAAAGATTTAGATTACGAACTTTATAAAAAAAAATATAAAAAATGAATTATAGCCTATAAACTTTTGGCCCATACGAGACAGTTAGTATTGTCCCACGCTAGGCTTACAACTTACAAGATTGAATTAGACGTGTTTAGTTCAGACTGTATTGCAGTGATTATGTTAAGTCGCTACGACTAAAGTTATTTCCATTTTGAAATCAAATTTAGTTTGCAACCCAAAACACTTCAGAAACTTGTTGAAACAAACGGAGAGTGGGTGGAAAAGCCATTAGAAAACTTTATCTTCCTTCAAGTCTCTACGAACCGAAGTGATAAGCATGAAAATCATTGGAAATTGTGTAAGATCCAAAAGCCATTAGGCGCCATTTTTAACCCTGAGAGAGAATGGTAGCATGGCGGACTGATGTAAAACAGAAAATGGGGAGGAAATTCAATTACATTACAGATGGTGATGAGGTTCCATTAGGGTGAGATTAGTGAGAGTTGCTTGTTCCCCCTCGTTACTTTATCTTAAATACTACATAGCGGGGAAGGTGTTCTGTGCCACCCCTAGCCCGTGCTACTTGCCTCGGTCCTGAGCCAGGTAAGTTACGGGCTCACCATAGCCCGTGCTACTTGAAACTTGTCCCAGAGTAGCTGAATCTATAACAACAACAACATGTGCCACCCTCAGTGTCAGCGAGGAAGGTATTCTGTGCCGTCCATCTGTGTTAACTGCTACTCAACGCAAGAGCCAGATAATATCGACCTGACGGGTCTCATTGGCTGCCATTATCACTATGTTACTGTTAACTAATTGCTGTACAAGAAGTTGTCAATTGAACTGTGTGTTCTGGTGCCCAGCATGGCAGGTACACTGCAATCTTGTTACAGTGATCCAAGTGATCAATTGTATCTTTTTTGCACTTACCTCCGGTCCGAGAGATGTCGCAGCATTTTATGCAATTCACAGATTTTTTTTAAATATTTTTACATGATGACAATATACATTGAGAAGCACCTAGCTTTCCGTTGAATATATACATTGAAAGTTTAATTTAGTCCTGGATTATGTTCAGGACTTAAATATACTTGATTGTCGATCAGTAAGCAATTGATGTGGTTTTAATAACCCTCCAAAGGTTGATAGGCACCAAAATTGTCAGGGATTGGCGTATCCTCGCTTTTCAGTGTATATTCACTGAGATAAGTACATATACATAAAGTGCTAGTCCTGCATTAGGGTCTAAACTAAAATACACTTGCTGGTTGGTCAATAACCTATTGTGGTGACCTTAATAAACATCCATGAGTCTAAGAGAGTGTTCCGGAGGATAAATATTTCAAGATTGTTGTGGTGAGTGGACTCCAAGTCGTTTGAGTGTACAGGGTAAACTCCTGGATAAGTATACACAACACAGGAGAGAGTCGCAGAGGCTAGGCTAAGCGTACCCCAGCTGAGAAAACTGAATTTGCTTAAATTTAGTAGCCTTTTATTCCATGCAGGGGATCATTTGAGTGACGCCTTGAGTGAAGGGTTAGGTTTAAACCTTTAATCTGTTACTCTCCCTTCCCCGCGTGGTGAGTAAATGGTGAATTAATAAGTTTAACCTGATCCATGTTTATCCCCCTGCTCATTTGCGTATGTAATGAATGGATGAATAGTGATTTGTCACCGGCCGGAAGCCTCAACCTTTTACCAGTGCCGTGAGTGAATGATCGATTGGAATGTGAGTACGACCTTAGTGTTGAGTGAAAGATGAATATGACCTGGTTAAACCTTCCACTTTTCATGGGCAAATATCTCAGTTACTTCTCCATTCTCTCCGTTCCCTTTCCCCATCCTGTGAGGGTAAAATATGGGCCCCTTTCATTAACCTACTCACAAACACACCTTCCCACTGTTGCCTATTCCATATTTTGGATTCCTTCATTCTCCTTTACTTCCTCTCCTTAAACCCACTTACCCATTATCCTATCCACCAAATTCGTTCCTATTCTCTTTGTGTACGTTTCTTCTCTCATTGCTGTGTCTCTCGCAAATTTGTATTTCTTATTTTATCTGTTTGATTAGTTTTTAGTGTCTCTCAACTGCCAAAAGCCTCTTCCACATTTTTAAATTTTTGTTGTAATAATTCTCACTCTCTCTCTCTCTCTCTCTCTCTCTCTCTCTCTCTCTCTCTCTCTCTCTCTCTCTCTCTCTCTCTCATCAGCACTAATACTCTTTCATCTCTCTCAACAGGCATTGTGTAAGATCGCTGCCAACTACCAGAACCGCAAAATTGCTTGCGTACCGGACATTAGGCTGGAAGATGGTTCAGAGGCATGGTAAGTCACCTGTCAGTCTCCATGTGTGCTAATAAGTCACTTTCAGTCAGTAAGTGTGTTATGGTAAGTCACTGTCAATCAGTATGATTGTCAGTGTATTCATTCGTAAGCGGTCGTTATAAGTGGTGAGCCAAAGTACACACCAGAATTGCAAATTCATTAATGCATCAGCACAGAGACGGTATATACACACACACACACACACGTACACATTCTTACACACACACACACACACACACACACCACACACACACACACACACACACACACACACACACATTAGGGGGTGACTGACTCCATACACAGTTTCAAGTGTAGATATGACAGAGCACGATAGGCTCAGGAATCTGTACACCTGTTGATTGACGGTTGAGAGGCGGGACCAAAGAGCCAGAGCTCAACCCCCGCAAACACAACTAGGTGAGTACACACACACACACACACGTACACATTCTTACACACACACACACACACCTGTACCCCTTCTCTACCCCACACACACACACACACCTGTACCCCTTCTCTACCTCACACACACACCTGTACATTTTTACATACACAGACAGGGTCAGGCGTGCTGCGGTAGGGAGCTAATTAGTACCTTGGTTTTCAAGATGGATCGATGAGAGAGAGATTTAAGTATATACACACACAATAAACGAGTTGGAATATACAGATACACGAAGCACAAGGACAAATATACACAGGTATAAGAAACTAGTGTTCAAATATTCATACATACGATATGTAAGTTAAAATATACGCACCCACATACGACACATAAGTTTAAATATACAGATATATGATACGCAAGCTCTGATATATACAAAATATATGATGCATAAGTTTAAAAATTCACACAGATATTCAAGGGAGGTTTAGCGTCAAGTCACGGAAGCCTTGTCAATAACATTAGGCTTGAGGGTCGTCGGGAACGATGTTGACAGTCGGTAAGTATTCTCAAAAGACGTCACGAGGCTTCGACTAGTACAAGACTCGTTTTTGAAAGCGAATAGAATGTCCTCGATTGTTTTCAATATTAGTGTGTACTGATCTATTTATGCTTGCGGAGGTTGAGTTCTGGTTCTCTGGTCCCGCCTCTCAACCGTCAATCTACTGGTGTACAGGTTCCTGAGCCTACTGGGTTCTATCATATCTACATTTGAAACTGTGTATGGAGTCAGCCTCCACCACATCACTTCCTCGTGCATTCCATTTGCTAACTACTCTGACACTGAAAAATTTATTTCTAATGTCTCATTGGAAAGGAGACGAGATATCAACTAATTATCAAAATACTGGAGGGCCAGGTCCCAATCTACACAGTAAAATAACAACGTATTGGAGTGAACGACATGGAAGAAAATGCAGAATAGAACCAGTGAAGAGCAGAGGTGCCATAGGCACAATCAGAGAACACTGTATAAACAGCAGAGGTCCACGGTTGTTCAACACCCTCCCAGCGAGTATAAGAAATATTGTCGGAACAACCGTGGACATCTTCAAGAGAAAACTAGATAGTTTTCTTCAAGAAGTGTCGGACCATCCGGGCTGTGGTGGGTATGTGGGCCTGCGGGCCGCTACAAGCAACAGCCTGTTGGACCAAGCTCTCACAAGTCAAGCCTGGCCTCGGGCCGGGCATGACCTTTGACACTGGCCATGACCATATACCATGGTCATTAGGACTGACCTTTTACCTTGTTACCGTGTTGTTAAGTCAGTTTTCCTGCAGTTTTGTCTTTTCTATCAATTCATTTCTGCTTTGGCCTTATATTATTTTTCAACTTTTCGCTGCATATTCTTCCTTTGAGCGTGCAACAGTCACCATGTTTTTAAATTCCGTTATATGCATCGTGTAGTTATATCGAGATAGTTCAATCGTTGGTGACGTCACATCAGTTCCTCCCCCCTGGCTGTCGCCCACCGGTATACTCAGAATAGAAACACCTGCTGAACAATATGTTATGCTGCGGAGGCCATCTGGCGGCCTGCTGCCACACTTCTCGGAACTGCTTTTGTCTCCTTAGGTTTCTGCACTCATTGGATGGGTGGCTTGGTGCGTGCGTACGTGTTCGCGCGCGTGTGTGTGTGTGTGTGTGTGTGTGTGTGTGTGTGTGTGTGTGTGTGTGTGTGTGTGTGTGTGTGTGTGTGTGTGTGTACTCACCTAGTTGTGTTTGTGGGGGTTGAGCATTGGCTCTTTGGTCCCGCCTCTCAACTGTCAATCAACTGTATGCACAATTAACTGTGTGTGTGTGTGTGTGTGTGTGTGTGTGTGTGTGTGTGTGTGCGTGTGTGTGCGTGTGTGCGTGTGTGCGTGCGTGCGTGCGTGTATGTGTGTATGTGCGCGCGCTTTAGAGAAATATATCTAGTAGATATAATAGAGGAAATAGATTGGTTAGAATGACGGGGTCCAAGAGGGAAAAAACTCAATTCTGAAGATACAAATAGTAAATACACACACACACAACATTTTTTTTAGGCATTTTCAGTATCAAGGAATTTTCCACAGGCCATCCTCGCCCGCGCTCACATTCGGAAAACAGAGATGGGAATATTTTCCCGCTCCGAGGGCCGCGTTCCCGCCAACTCGTCGACTGCTAATCACAGTTTGGAAACACTTTTTATTTTCAAAAAATTTCCATATATTTTTGGTATTTAACACTATATAGATTTTTTTTTTCAAATGACAATAGATTATACATTTCATATTTTTTCAAATTAAACATTTTGTGAAGGATTTGCATTTTTTTTAGAGGGATCAGAAGCTTTTTCTGAAAGAGCTTTGCTGATATCATACAGAAGCCGGAGCATTAAGTCTCCCCACGGGATGATGGGAACGTGAATGGGTGGAGAAGATGACTGGTTTCTTCCAGATGATGGGGAAGCTTTTGGAGAGGGGGGAGGGACATTTTCCTTATATGAAGATGACTTTCCGATTATCAAACCCGTATGTATATCATTATGTTAGCGTGTATTAGGCTGCGTTAGGCTCGGATGGTTTGAATAGGTTAGGCTGTATATCATTATGTTAGCGTGTATTAGGCTGCGTTAGGCTCGGATGGTTTGAATAGGTTAGGCTAAGTTAGTTTTGGTTACTCTTAGTTTGCGTCTAGTTAAGTTTAGGCTGGATTAGGATAGCTTAGGCTACAAAATCCGTTGACGAACAAAAGCATTACAGAAACAGTACATGATAGAGCGGAAAACAACAGTGCAACATTAGAAGAATTCCATGACGGTGTCTTTTGTGCATTCAACACAAAAAATAATGTTTAATTCTGTTTACGGACAATAACGGAAAATGTTCACAGCAATAATGAAATCCCATCGTTCAAGAGCTCAACTCCTCTCCCCCGTGTTTTTACAATCAAAAGCTCTTAAGCACCCAGTGCTCTAATTCTCCTAAGTGCTCGTCACTGGTTGGGAACCTCTAAATGTCGGGCTCAGATACGCTTGATAATCCTCCTAATGAGACGAGTCTGTTGCAGGTTTCGTGTTTGAGATCCTTAATAGAGGCGAGGGTGTGTATGTGTGTGTGTGTGTGATGCGTGTATGTTGGGTGTGTGTGTGAGTATGTTGGGGTGTGTATGTGCGTGTATGTGTATGTATGTTGAGTGTGCGTATGTGCATTGATCAGCGTTGTGATATGACTGCGATAATTAGCGGAGGAAAGGCCCATTTGAAAGGCCCATTTTTCACAGACAAGGCAACTCCTATTAATATCCACCAAAACTCATTCTTATACGTCTAACCTAACCTAAAAATCATCCAACAATCCCATATGTGTTATGCTACCAGTAAATGTGTTCCACAAACATATACATCCCAATTTCCAAACTAATATTTCCATCGACGAACCTAACATGAACCATTACAAAATTGAGCGGTGTAACTCCCTAGCGTATTATGTAAATAATTTTTTTCCACATTCACTTATACATGATGAATGGTATTGTCAGCTTGAAATAATCATCAGGACAAATTGATGGGGGAACGTTTGATAAGCCGCAGGAGAGCCACTAGTTAGTGGCTCTCAGGTAAACTCAGATAAAAGGGTTCCTCAGATAAAAGGGTTCGTTATAGATTGTCACAGCAATGTATATCGTTAGGTTAAATTCTATTTCCAGCAATAGATGAGGAAATAGCGTATGCTACTTTATGATTTTGAATCCTGAATCCTTCGATGTTCATTTTCGCTTTGAAGAAAAATGGGCGCGAGATGAGGCTTCTCCCACTCATGAAATTACTCAAATTAGTTCAGCCGTCATTGCTCTTCATTGATTAACACACCAATTAAGTCATTACTCGCACTTATATATATCCCTTCACTTGATTACAAATTCAAATTAGTCCTGGGCGCACTAATTCACAAATTTATTTTGAATTCCAAGGTCCCGTGATTTAAAGACATTCCGACACGTTGCATGATTTGTTAACGGTTGAAATTCAGTTGCAAAAGCCGTTAATATTTGAACGTGTGTTGCACGAGCTGCTAACAGTTGAATAACTGTTAACAGTTATCCAACTGTTAACTGTGTTATTCAACTGTTATTAGTTAACTGTGTTGCACGATCTGTGAACAGTTAATTGCGTTGCATGAGCAACGCAAACAGTGGAATGTGTGTTCCAAAAGCTGTTAAGCCGTTTAGCTCGCGTTGCAAGAACTGTTGAACAATTGAGCGTCTTGCAAGAGCTGTAAAACAAATGAGCGTGTGTTGCAAGGGCTGCTAAACAATTGTCAATTTTCAAACAACTATTGCAAGAGATTTCCAACAGGTGAATGTTGTAAGATGTATGAAAAATAGTGCTTGTGTTGCAAGAGACGTGTAAAGAGAGTGTTTGTGTTGCAGGAGACGTGTAAGGAGAGTTCTTGTGTTGCAGGAGACGTGTAAAGAGAGTGTTTGTGTTGCAGGAGACGTGTAAGGAGAGTTCTTGTGTTGCAGGAGACGTGTAAAGAGAGTGTTTGTGTTGCAGGAGACGTGTAAAGAGAGTGTTTGTGTTGCAGGAGACGTGTAAGGAGAGTTCTTGTGTTGCAGGAGACGTGTAAAGAGAGTGTTTGTGTTGCAGGAGACGTGTAAGGAGAGTTCTTGTGTTGCAGGAATGTGTACAGCGTGTGGCGGACGGTACTGGACGAGACGGAGAAGTTGGGGAAGGCGAGACTCGCAGCCGTCGAGGTCTTCCAGCAGAATATTTCGGAGGACGCGAAGCTCACCCGCCAGAATAAGATCCACCTGGCTAAGAAGGTGAGAGGGGCTGCCCTCTTAATTCTCTCTCTCAGTACCTCCCCTCTTTTCTCTCACCACCTCCTTACTCTCAGTACCTCCTTCGTTCGTTCCCCCTCACTACAATACCTCCTTACTTCCCGTCCCTCCCTCCTTCCTTTCCTCCTTTCCTCCCTTCTCTTCCGTTTTTAATTCTCCTAGAATAAGTCTTCAGACCTTAAATGTCAATAAAGTACATGAACTAAAACATATTCACATTGAAGCAAGCCTTTCTGTATTTAACAAAAGTGTGAATATAACTATTACAGTTTAAATGAAGTTAATAGTCTAGGATAGGAATGGTGGCCTTTGAATTGCAGTCTACACTAAGGAAATCATCACAGGAATGTGTCGTGAAGCTCACTGTGAGTAGCCTGACAGGTACAAGTGAAGTGTTGTTGAGGCCTGGAACACCGGTACCCTCATACACAGCTCCTGTTGGAAGCAGGAGAACGAGGAACTGTAGAGTAAGTTGAACGGATACTCTTAATTGATATGTCGAAGATATTAAAAGATAGCAACAAGCAACAGTTCCAAGCAACATATAGCTCCAAGCAGCCATAGCTCCAATAGCTCCAAGCAACAGCCTAGTGGACCAAACTCTCACAAGTCAAGCCTGGCCTCGGGCCGGGCTTGGGGAGTAGAAGAACTCCCAGAACCCCATCAACCAGGTATATGTGGGCCTGCGGGCCGCTCCAAGCACCAGCCTGGTGGACCAAACTCTCACAAGTCAAGCCTGGCCTCGGGCCGGGCTTGGGGAGTAGAAGAACTCTCAGAACCCCATCAACCAGGTATCAACCAGGTATAGGTGAACCACAATGCTACCTCTGATGAAACTGCCATTAAACTATTCTATAGGAGTTTCTCCTGATCATGAAGCAGTCTCCCGACACCCAGCGAAACGCCTTCAGAGAAACAAATGTCATTTATGCCTTTACATGCCCACCTGGGAACTATCAGCCCCAACTATCCCAGTGCATATAGACTAGAGTCTCACTAGACGACAACATCTCTTTCAAGGTGTCTGACAATACGCAAACAGCAAGGCCCGCATCAAGGAACATATTGCGCACACAACCAGATGATCACAAGTGATATCCTTACCAACAACACCAAAATAAGATTAGACATTTGCGAAACACTCATCTACCTCTTCCCCTCTTCATTCCCCATTCATCACCCAAAAGAGTGAGATGACAATCCTTTTCTCTCTGCACGCGCAGTTTTCAGACCAGCTGAAGGTGATCCAGAGCGAGGTGCAGACGCAGGTGCAGGAGCTGGACCGCACCAAGAAGGTTTACTACGATGAGGAACACGTGGCCCACGACGCTAGGGAGAAGGCTAGCGCCGCCGAGGAGAAGTAAGTTCACTCCCTTATATGTACAGGCGAGGAGTCACAATACCGTGGCTGAAGTATGTTGACCAGACCACACACTAGAAGGTGAAGGGACGACGACGTTTCGGTCCGTCCTGGACCATTCTTAAGTCGATTGCTTCATTCTCACAATCGACCCAGGTTCAGGACGGACCGAAACGTCGTCGTCCCTTCACTCTCTTATATATATGTATATATCAGTGTGTGTGTTTGTAATATGTCTTCGGTATACAAGCAATTAGTGGAGTGAGAGCACATTCCTCGAGGCAGGGATTGTAAGCTGGGGCATGAGGGTAGTGAAGGCTAATTGCACTATCGCAAAATTGAGGAAGGTCGTTATGCCCTTCTTCAAATATGTCACCAAAAGTATTGCTGTGAAATGTTCTTTGCCGTCAGTGTCTCCTGCCCCAGATTACTAGTGCGTTTGTTGAAGCCTGCTCCAGGCCGATTATATGACACTTGTTAAAAAGACAGAATATTTTCGGTCTTGCAAGGCAAGGATTAAGAAACTCCGACGGGCTGAAGCTGTTGGCCTTCCGAATTAGCAATCACTTGGCCCAAAGAAATAAAATATAAGCTAAAATGTCTTACCTGAAGAACACGTCTCAAGGTTTATAATTCCTCACTCTTCATTTTGTATCCATCATTCAAAATTAATACACAATTTTTGCGTAACAGGTAAACTTGACCAACAAATAATCTAGCACAATATTATTGCCTAATAGTCCATCATGCTAGGCTCTCCAACGCATTCTTTCACCCAATACGCCGCAATTTTTAACGGAAATCAAAAATTCGTTAAAAACACAACGTTTTATAACAAATATAATATCGCATTACTGACGTTTAATATGGATCGGCCTCGCAAAGGTTTAGGTGGGTTGCTTGGGTTAGTGCGTTTCTTGTTAGGCAAAACCGTTGTAATTTTTTTACGGAGTGGCACTTCCATAGAACAGATTGTCAAATGTTTACCTCTGGTCGACAACCAGTCTCGTTCATAGTGAATTACAGTTTAGTTTTTTGTAAATCATCAGTTTAAACTTTTTTATTTTTAAACATCAATTTAAAAAGTTTATACTTTTTTTTCTCGAATATTAGATGTTTTATATTGTTAGCACTGTGAAGTTAAATGTTGAATTTATTGCATATGTAACTCTTTCCTTGTTTGCTTTTTACATATGTGGTTTAAATGTTAAATTTTATTGGTATTATATATATATATATATATATATATATATATATATATATATATATATATATATATATATATATATATATATATATATATATATATATATATATATATATATATATATATATATATATAAACTTTTTTAGAACGTTGTGACTATCCCTTCCTAGTTCTGACTTGAAGGATGTAACTATCCCTTCATAGTGTAGGGCTAGAATGCTGACTATCTCTCTTATCTTAGGACTAAAACTTTAAGTTGCCTGATTACAAGTTCCACTCAGTTTAGTGTTCATAATAGGTATGAATAATACCTATTTAGTGTTCATAACAGGTATGAACGCTCGCAATGGTTATCAATCTTCTGATCTATATGATAAGATATTTAACAAAGCATTATTGTAATATACACATATTATATATATATATATATATATATATATATATATATATATATATATATATATATATATATATATATATATATATATATATATATATATATATATATATATATATATATATATATATATATATATATATATATATATTATATATACATACATACACTGTCACATTGTTCATCACATGCTAATTACTTCGTGATTTACACACACACACACACACACACACACACACACACATATATATATATATATATATATATATATATATATATATATATATATATATATATATATATATATATATATATATATATATTTACATAATAGGCTGTATTTAAGACATGATGAGATAAACTAAGCAATGTATTTTTTGTTTCACTTCCATAAAATTTGAACAAAATAGGATTATCCACCGGTAGGTGTGATTTAATTCCCTATGTTTTAATACACACTGGATGTTTTTACTGGTTGGTTTTCTCTTTTGACCTTGCAAAATCATTTTCGCCTTGAAAACATAATTATTCGTTACATTTTGCTCAATGAATTTCGAATCAAAATCATACTGCTACAATGATCCTAATAGGCTCCTCCCAGGTGGCTTTAGGGGCGAAAAACTAGGTCAAAGTTAATTACATCGATATTGGTCGGATAAGGTCAATATCTGGAGATATCTGAGGGGCCAGATTCACGAAGCAGTTACGCAAGCACTTACGAACGTGTACATCTTTCCTCAATCTTTGACGGCTTTGGTTACATTTATTAAACAGTTTACAAGCATGAAAACTTCCCATTCAACTGTTGTTATTGTTCTAAATAGCCTCCATTAACTGTTTAATAATTGTAAACAAAGACGCCAAAGATTGAGAAAAGATGTACAGGTTCGTAGGTGTTTTCGTAAGTGCTTTCGTGAATCTGGCCCCCGATCTATCTGATATCTGCGCTCTGGAGAGAACGCGGATGAATATATTTACTGGTTCTATAGGGGCTTAGATCCCAACATGGATACAGAGAGAGGAGTGGCCAAAAATGCAATCAGTGAATCGACAGCTTTGTAAGGAGTGAACCAGATAACAGATGAAAGTAATGAACTGAAAACTTAGACGCTGTGACCTTGATAAGACGCTGTAAGCTTGTTAAGATGTAAACTTGATAAATGATGTAACTGATAAGATGCTGTAATCTCGATAAGACGCTGTAACCGTGATAAACTGCTGTAACCTTGATAACATGCTGTAGCCCTTTAAGATGCTTAAGATGCTGCAACTTTGATAAAACGCTATAGCCTAAATAAGACACTGTAGCCTTAATAAGACGCTCTAACCTTGATATAACACAAACTGGGTCATTAACCTTGATATAACACAAAGTGGGTCATTAACCTTGATATAACACAAACTGGGTCATTAACCTTGATATAACACAAACTGGGTCATTAACCTTGATATAACACAAAGTGGGTCATTAACCTTGATATAACACAAACTGGGTCATTAGGACAACACCCAACTTACTCGTTAAGATCACATTTACAGGATAATTTGGCTGGAAAAAAATTAAGATGGCGTGTTGAATAATCTTACTATAGATTTTATAATTAAATGTTAAAAAATGAATTTGACCCCAGTTCGAAGCCCCATTAAAAAATGGGCTGGAGCAAATATATATACAAGTGTAAGTAAAAACTATATTTTTATTTATAAAGTAAACAAACTCAAGCAAATATACAACACTGTATGGAGCTTAAACAAATCAAATTAACAACAAAGTAATACATTTTTACACAGATTGGATATAGATGACATTAAGTGTTTTAATTAAATTCCATATTTAAGAACTAATATTTTTTTAAAATATAATAAAAAAACTATTTCGAGCCTGTGTATTTCGCCCCCCCCACCCCCCCCCCACACAGGAGCCACCTTAGCTATACATTTACAGAAATTGGTGTAAAAAAAAAGCAAAATTTAACATATTCTCTTCTGTGGCCTGAGGCTGTTTATATAACCCTGACTTCTCTTTCAGAGTATCACAGGTGTGGCTTTCATTCCCCATTAGTACAGAGAGAAAATTTGGATGCCAGATGAAAACAAAATTAAAAATAATAAATATTGGACTACTAATACACTTGATATTACAAGCAAGGTTTAAAAAGTATTATGTTTTCATAAGCCTAGTTTTTCTTCACACTTTTTTTTTTTGCACAGTATTTTTTTTTAAAATATACCTCTTTTTTTTTAGAATACTTTTTTGTGTCTTGAAGCCACTGAAGTTAGCTACTTTTTTGTTAATGTGTGATATTAAGCTTGGCGTCTTCACGGGCAGCACACCACTCTGGCCCTATTCTTGCATGATATTCCTATCAGGCGGTGGTAACTTTACCCCCACTGTTTGTCCCCACTTGTAGCTGTCATCTTGAGCTGTGTGTGTGTTTGTGGCCAAATAATGCGAGTTTGGTGTGCTCCCTTACACCTGACGCCATGCTCCCCTTTCACCTCACACATGTGCTCTCCCTGACGCTATATGCTCCTTCCAAATGCTCCTCTTCTACATGCTCCCCCTCCCTCAACCGCTATACAAGCACGTCATGGTGGAAGCTGAACTTCGTGTAGATAATCGCAAGAACAGTCTGTTTTCATTCTCACATTCTTTTCCATGCTCCCTTTTGTAATGATGAACCATATTTATCTCTCGCTTCCTCCTATCCTGACATTGCTTTCCTCGCTTGAATCCGTTATTTCTTGCACTGAAAACAAACAATGTCTGCATTGTTTTGGTGCTTGAAAAGCCTCCGTGCTCTGTTGCGAGTGATAGTCAGCCATCATGCCCAGGGAGCCGGTCGGCCGAGCGGACAGCACACTGGACTTGTGATCCTGTGGTCCTGGGTTCGATCCCAGGCGCCGGCGAGAAACAATGGGCAGAGTTTCTTTCACCCTATGCCCCTGTTACCTAGTAGTAAAATAGGTACCTAGGTGTTAGTCAGCTGTCACGGGCTGCTTCCTGGGGGTGGAGGCCTGGTCGAGGACCGGGCCGCGGGGACACTAAAGCCCCGAAATCATCTCAAGATAACCTTAAGATAACCTCAAGATTTGAAACCGTTCAGGTCCAGATCACTCGATGATTCTTGGAGGCTTAATATGTGACAGCTTACAAGATATAGATGTGTGTATATCACGAAAATAAACACGTGACCTTCTGAAGATGTATTTAATATACGAAAGTACTTAAGGAAATTTCCTGTTTCATTTTTCCTCCGTGGTCTGACATTGTCATATAGATGTAATAAGATATAGATGTAATAAAAGTACAGCAGCTCCTTTAAACACTGCTTTTGTACAGAAAATTGATTACAGTTCTTGCCTTGAATTTCCGCAGATAGTTTGTGAACCTTCAAATGAATCTAATGCACCAATACTGTATATGTTTATGTGTGAAGGAGGAGGGCGGCTAGGCTGTTGTTTTAGATTCAGCTACTCAGAACCAAAAGTTCCATGTAGCACGGGCTATGGTGAGCCCGTAAGTGGAGGCTCTTTGGAGTCATTATCTGATACTAACGGCTAGGCCTGGGAGAAATCATCTTGTAGTGTTGTGAGGTGGATGGTTTCAAAGTCTAGGAGAATCGCCCCGGAGCGTAGTGAGGTGGTGGTTTCTAAGTCTACCTTGAGGTTACCTTGAGATGTTTTCGGGGCTTAGCGTCCCCGCGGCCCGGTCGTCGACCAGGCATTCTGGTTGCTGGACTGGTCAAGTTGGACGCGGCTGCTCGAAGTCTGACGTATGAGTCACAGCCTGGTTGATCAGGTATCCTTTGGAAAGAAACACTAAGTCTAGGAGAATTACCCCAGAACGTAGCGAGGTGGATGGTTTCTAAGTCGAGGAGAATCGCCCTGGAGCTTAATGAACTAGATGAGTTTCTAAATCTAGAAGAATCGCCCCTGAGCTCAATGAGGTGTGTGGTTAATAAATATAAGGGAATCGCTTTGGAGCCTAGTAAGGCGTGTTTTTTTTGGAAGTAGGAGAATCACCTTGGAGCGTAGCATTTTTCTGAGGATCAAAAAAGTGTCAAAATAATTCCGCTTCCTTTGCTTGCTGTCTTATTCTTCAGCGTTTCTCTCCTTAAATTAACGTGCATCTCTCTCTTCTCTTTTCTCTGTCTGTTTGACTTTCTCTCTCTTTCTTTCTCACTCATCTTTTCATCTAGTATTTAATTTTACTATTAATCACAAAAATAATATTTTCGTCTGCTTGGTTGTAAAAAAAAGCTTACATAAAATACAAAATTATTAAACTTGAAAATTCTAACTACTAGTCATTTAAATTTAATTTTTGCAGTTTTTAAGATCATTGATTAACTTTAGCGTCTTAAATCATATGAACTAAATTTCTTTAGATGTGTTGATTTGTGTCCCTGTTAGGATGATGTTTTGGAAATAGTGTAATTTACAGATTTGCTGTTATTTATATATATATATATATATATATATATATATATATATATATATATATATATATATATATATATATATAGCCAGAACTCATATATATAGCCAAGTTTCCTGAATTAATATATTTTTTCTATTTTTTTCTTATATATATATATATATGCTCTACTATTAGAGTTCAAATATTTCTGTTTATATACGCAAAAAAATATATCGCACTGAACGTTTGATTAAGGATGTAATGCACTAAGGAGAAAAAATGTTACCTACAACTTTCAGTTGAATATGAATAACGTTAGGCTTTAGTTGTTTAATAGCATTTTTCAGCGGTGTGCTATTAATTGATCAAACCCTATATAGAAGCTGATATTGTGCCGGTGCTATAATATTCTACTATTATCTGATGACTGGGGAATGTGATTTTATGTCTATAATTCACCTTACGTAAACCTAACATATTTGCATGGGACCCAAGTCAGAAGTCGCTCCACCATCTGTAGAATTACTGTTTCCTCTAGCAGTCCAGAAGAGCCCGTGCCCTGGAAACACAAACCGAAACTGTCTCAATTTTCCGCTTGTTACAACTTGTAATAAAGTTGTTACATCTTGGCTTAACGTGTTTATGACGTATTAGAACGTTGTTACAACTTGCTATATTGGTTGTTATAACTGGTTAGGAGGTGTTAAAACTTGTTCGAACGTTGTACCAACGTCGTAGTTTCCGTGTGTGTTTGGAGGGTGGTTACTAGGGAAGGACGCTTTTTCCTCCGGTCAAGGAGAGAACACCTTATCCTGTAATCTTGCTGTGGTAGTGTTGGTACATTGAGAACCACTCTAATGACTGCTGTGTTCTCTCTTTTCCGGTGGGTCAAATATGTGTGATGTACGATTTTCCTTTACATGTTTTTACGCCTCAAACCAAGTATATATGAAGCAACCGAGACTCGAGGGGGAATAAACACAGCATATAGTAACGTCTTGGTATATTACTCAAGCCACTTGAACAGTTGAGAGTTCAGTTGGTGAATGCTCTAGCAGTGAGTTCGAAGGAGTACGCTCACACTCTATAAGACGTTGGAAGTGACCAAATTTTGTTGTAATTGTCACCTTTTTCACTGCTACAGTTGCACGTGATTTGCAACCAATAACAAACAGTATCCCATTGTTCTGGCGGGAAATAAACGAATATTATAAAGCAAATGAGCTTATCACAGCATTTGTATCTGTAACGTAGACGAGACTTCGATGCACAAATATGAGCTATCAGGACATGCATCAATGATAATTGCCTCTAATAATCAACAGCGACCCATATTAATCACTCAGTAATGCAGATACTATCTGATGACATTTCTTTTTTCTGCAATCATTTCCTCTTGTCTCCTCAGGTTAAAGAGAAAGAAAGGTTCTATATTCCAGTCCATACAGTCACTACAAAAGAACAGCGCTAAGGTAAGACAGGAATATCAACAATAACTTATAGATCCCTAAGAAATATTTCAAGTTATAGTCATCATGCTCGTGATATCGACCAAGCTCAGATTTATCAAACATTTACGTGTCCCGTTACGAAACCAGTATATCTTTTTCCCCCATTCATGTCACTCAAGGTTGTCTATAACAATAATAATCTTGGCTTGAGGATGACCTTGCATGGCTTCCAAGCTCGTGAACTGTTTAACAAATACAGACTAAGCCTTCATGATCGAGGAAAGATATATAGGTTTCGTAAGTGAACACGCAAATGCTTCATAAATCCTGATGCAGTACTTCTTGGTTGTACAAGCAGAACAAAAAAATACAGAATTAATAAACTTGAAAAGCATGAAGTGACATATCACATGAAAAATATGTATGTGATACTTCACATCTCTCTTAAAAATAAGTCTTATTGTTAATTCTAGTTATTCAGTATGTGTTCAAAGTTGATCAATCTCTAAGTGAGATATTTACCAAATTTCCTTTTTATTAATATTTTTCTAGTCACCATTTTAAAGTTATTCCCACTATTTCCTACGTTGATTAGGATATCTCCCGAACTACGGTATTGGTCGAAATATTTCTCGTGTTAACTCTCAAATATCAAATATGTTTTTCTTTTAGTTTTATGATCAATAATTTCAGTTATTAAAGATATTTTATAAACTATACCAAATATTTTCCAAGTTTTATATATATTTCTTTAATTTTAGCATAAGTATTATTCCGTGATTCGGTATATTTTTTCCTATAGTCTTAGCCGTTACTGTCAATATATATATATATATATATATATATATATATATATATATATATATATATATATATATATATATATATATATATATATATATATATATATATATTTGTTCTGCATGTACCGTTCAGTATATATTGTTACACATGTATCTTGCATGTCGTGATCATGTCCTCTCTGCTATGATGGAAAGGTGCGGAGGATCTGAGGAAAGGGGGGATAGAGAGAGAGAAAATCTTCTGCAAACGACGTTAATAACATTAATTCAATGTTGATTTAACATTGCTTAAACCTTACTCTAACATAACAGCCCGCTGTTAGTAGGTGGTTTGGCGATGTGAATGCGAAAATCTCCATCCAGGTGTCATTTTGTTCTATCTTGAAGTAAATGTGGTTTCTCGTGCTGGATATATAGTCTAGCACAACCTGTGTAAATCGCTAACGTGTAGTCTAGCACAACATGTGTAACCCACTAACATATAACCTAGCACAACATGTTTAAACCGCTAACATATAGTCTAGCACAACATGTGTAAACCGCTAACATATAGCCTAGCACATGTGTAAACCTTAGCACCTGTAGTCTACCATTACACGTGTAAACCTTAGCACATGTAGTCTAGCACACGTGTAAACCTTAGCACCTGTAGTCTAGCACTGTGTAAACCTTAGCACCTGTAGTCTAGCACTGTGTAAACCTTAGCACCTGTAGTCTAGCACTGTGTAAACCTTAGCACCTGTAGTCTAGCACATCACGTGTAAACCTTAGCACCTGTAGTCTAGCACTAACTGTTTAAACCTTAGCACCTGTAGTCCAGCACATGTGTAAACCTTAGCACCTGTGGTCTAGCACTGTGTAAACCTTAGCACCTGTAGTCTACCATTACACGTGTAAACCTTAGCACATGTAGTCTAGCACATGTGTAAACCTTAGCACCTGTAGTCTAGCACTGTGTAAACCTTAGCACCTGTAGTCTAGCACATGTGTAAACCTTCGCACCTGTAGTCTAGCACTACACGTGTAAACCTTAGCACATGTAGTCTAGCACATGTGTAAACCTTAGCACCTGTAGTCTAGCACTGTGTAAACCTTAGCACCTGTAGTCTAGCACATGTGTAAACCTTCGCACCTGTAGTCTACCACTACACGTGTAAACCTTAGCACCTGTAGTCTAGCACATGTGTAAACCTTAGCACATGTAGTCTAGCACTGTATAAACCTCAGCACCTGTAGTCTAGCACATGTGTAAACCTTAGCCCATGTAGTCTACCACTACACGTGCAAACCTTAGCACCTGTAGTCTACCAATACACGTGTAAACCTGGCGGGATATGGCATGTGTCGGCAGTTCTCAGCGAAGCGTGACGCTTGCGATGAGAAGTCTGCAGGTGCCCGCAACGATTACCTCCTCAGCCTGGCCTCTGGGAACGCCCATCAGCGGCGCTACTACGAGATCGACTTCGAAAGATTTCTTCGGGTAAGTACATGCGTCCGGGTATATAACCTCTCGTCCCGGTAGTCTCTTGATCAGATAGTCTCTTGGTCTGGTAGTCTCTTGTTCAGGTAGTCTCTTGGTCTGGTAGTCTCTTGGTCTGGTAGTCTCTTAGTCTGGTAGTCTCTTGTTCAGGTAGTCTCTTGGTCTGGTAGTCTCTTGTTCATTTAGTCTCTTGGTCTGGTAGTCTCTTGTTCATTTAGTCTCTTGGTCTGGTAGTCTCTTGTTCAGGTAGTCTCTTAGTCCCGGTAGCTTATATCTCCCGGTAGCCTCTAGTTCAGGTAGCCTATATTCCCCGGTAGCTTCTAGTTCAGGTAGCCTATATCCCCGATAGCCTCTAGTTCAGGTAGCCTCATATATATATATATATATATATATATATATATATTTATTTTAGTGTGATAAAGAATTATTTCACTCATGGCCTAGTTATGTGGAAGAACAATTTTATTGATTTCCGATGTCCTGCAGTGTGAATATATATTAAAACAGCTGGTATAATTCAAATTCAAAACTTTATTTATTTATGTCTGTTCATTTATAATGATCATGTACAGTTTATTTACACAAAATAACAGTACATTATTTACTTTATAGAAAGTCATAATACTGTATAATCTAGATTTAGATTTGGAAGATATATTTGTCAGGGAGTTATCAGCTAATTATATTGATAAGTGTTGGTAGTTACTGGAGACAATGGTGGGATAATGGTAGTTATTGGAGACAATGGTGAGATAATAGTAGTTATTGGAGACAATGGGGAGATATTGGTAGTTATTCGAGACAATAAGGAGATAATAGTAGTTAATGGAGACAATGGGGGAGATAATAGTAGTTATTGGAGACAATGGTGAGATAATGGTAGTTATTGGAGACAATGGTGAGATAATAGTAGTTATTGGAGACAATGGGGAGATAATAGTAGTTATTGGAGACAATGGGGAGATAATAGTAGTTATTGGAGACAATGGGGAGATAATAGTAGTTATTGGAGACAATGGGGAGATAATAGTAGTTATTGGAGACAATGGGGAGATAATAGTAGTTATTGGAGACAATGGGGAGATAATAGTAGTTATTGGAGACAATGGGGAGATATTGGTAGTTATTGGAGACAATGGTGAGATAAATGAACCTTATTTACACTTGTGTATCCGCTCTTCAGACGCTGGAGTGCGACATGTATGATAAAGTCGCCGAGTACTTGACACTGATGAGTCGCACGGAGCTCCTTACTTGCTCTGCCTCTCAGTCTTCCTTCAACAAGATCAAGGAGCAGGCAACCACAGTGAGTCCCCTCCCCCCCCCCCCCCGTCGTCCTTATGGATCAGGATTTAACAAGCATTCACGTGGCCATTTACGGAACCGGTACATCTTTCCTTACTCACGGGTCGCTTGGTTTCGGCCCAAGGTTGTTATTGTTATAGACAACCTCGTATTGCTTCGGAACTGCTAAAGTGATTAATAAATGCAAACTACTAAGCCGCTATGATTGATGAAAGATGTACAGGTTTTGTAAGGTGATGCCAGTTTCCGACTGACGGACAAATAGACTTAAAAATCCATATTATTTAATATAAGAGTTAGTAGGTATGATTACACACACACCTCTTATATGAAATAGCTTTGGATCTATAGTTCTGGGCACCACCACATGAACAAATCCACAAGGGCCGTGACGAGGATTCGAACCTGCGTCCGGGACACATACCTCTGTGCACCGGGCCTTGGGAGCCTCTAATGAGTGAAGAGCCTTGCTCCCTCACCACTCACACCTCATACACATAGTCTTCAAACTCTGAATGCTGATGCTAGCAGTATGGGAGCTTTGTAACCTGTGAATGCTGATCCTAGCAGTATGGGAGCTTTGTAACCTCTGAATGCTGATCCTAGCAGTATGGGAGCTTTGTAACCTCTGAATGCTGATCCTAACAGTATGGGAGCTTTGTAACCTCTGAATGCTGATCCTAACAGTATGGGAGCTTTGTAACCTCTGAATGCTGATCCTAACAGTATGGGAGCTTTGTAACGATTGTGTTCCGCTCTTGGAATAAGAACATGTTCAGCTTCCTCCCTCCCGTGAACTACAGTACACAGCCTACTGTAGCTCACGAGGGGGATGGAGTACACTACAGTACACAGCCTACTGTATTTAACGGGAGGGAGGAAGTTCACTACAGTACACAGCCTACTATAGCTCACAGGAGAGAGGAACAGTACACAACAGTACACAGCCTACTGTAGCTCACGGAGAGAGGAAGCACACTACAGTACACAGCCTACTGTAGCTCACAGGAGAGAGGAACAGTTCACAACAGTACACAGCCTACTGTAGCTCACAGGAGAGAGGAACAGTACACAACAGTACACAGCCTACTGTAGCTCACGGGAGAGAGCACAGTACACAACACAGCCTACTGTAGCTCACAGGAGAGAGGAACAGTACACCACAGTACACAGCCTACACTTCCCCCCGTCTCCCGCCTGCAGATCACACGAGGCTACAATCTCCGCTGCTACCTGACCTTCTACCCGATGCTGGGCCAGAACATCCAGTACGACTTCGAGCCATGTGATAGTGACAACATTGATAAGATTACCGTCCACGACGACACCACTCAAGCCGTTCTCGAGTCCGAGAGCAGAAAATGCGTCACCACCATACAGAAGGAAGTCAAGGTGGGTACCCTGGAAACACAAACCGAAACTGTCTCTATTTTCCGCTTGGGCTTAACGTGTTTATGACGTATTAGAACGTTGTTACAACTTGCTATATTGGGTTATAACTGGTTAGGAGGTGTTAAAACTTGAACGTTGTACCAACGTCGTAGTTTCTTCCGGGCCAGGATTACGAAACCTGTATATCTTCCCTCAATCATGACAGCTCTGTTTACATTTATTAAAGAGTTTATGAGCTCCGAAGGACTACAAGGATATTTATAAGAGTAATAACCTTGGGGTTGTAAAGTTTCAAAGTTTGTAAACTGTTTAATAAATGTAAAAACAGCCGATGTGATTGAGGAAAGATGAACAGGTTTCGTAAAATGGATGTGTAAACGTTTGATGAGTTCTTTAGGCAGGATGTTAAGGTAGAATGGCTTCTAGAGTCATGAATATGTCGATCTATGAAGGAAATTCACTAATTAAATGCCGATGAGGCTATATAAGGTAGATTTAGTGTTCCGGGAACTACGGTATCTTGATTGCCAGCTATCGAAGCTGGATAGCTACGTAGTATCAATAAAAGTAGTATCGTAGTATCTATAAAAGCCAGCTATCGTAGCGCATATATGGTCAGGTCACTAGTAACGTTAGACTGAATATATCAGACACTTATTAAGACATCTCGCACCTAAATGAGTTTTTACTTCTGAAATTCCTAAATTAGAAACACGAAGAATATCTTGTTAGCAAAACATATATTTGAGCACCCAAAGTTATAAAAGTTTTAGCACCTCGAACCTTCTGGAGGTTATCTGGAGATGATTTCGGGGCTTTAGTGTCCCCGAGGTCCGGTCCTCGACCAGGCCTCCACCCCCAGGAAGCAGCCCGTGACAGCTGACTAACACCCAGGTACCTATTTTACTGCTAGGTAACAGGGGCATAGGATGAAAGAAACTCTGCCCATTGTTTCTCGCCGGCGCCCGGGATCGAACCCAGGACCACAGGATAACAAGTCCAGCGTGCTGTCCGCTCGGCCGACCGGCTCCCCTTGACTATGCCTTAGTGATAATTCCTATTTTTATTATTCTATTCATGTACACCTGTTAGATTATTTATAAATTTGACTTGTTACTTTAAATTATTTGACAATTTTGTAATGTATTATCAACATCAAATAATACATTAATGTGTTAGCTGTTACTAGGCAGTCAAAATTGGTTTCCATAGATGGCAAGAACATATTGTATTATCTTTCTAAATCTCTCTCTATATATATATTTACAAGAAAATGTCTGATTGTACCAGATTGGAGACCAGATACTGGTGATTAGCCTCATGCAACTTTCTTCCATGGTGATTATTTGTGATTGTATGACTCCTAGGAAGTGAAATGGAGGTTTAGTTTTCCATAGAGTTTTTCCACCAGATTTTCATTTGTTTCATCTCACACACACACACGGACAAAACCACAATGTTGCGTCAAAGTAACAATAGTATTGTTATGATTATGTTGTGGGATTGCTGGATATGTATATGGTATGTTTTGATAATATATATATATATATATATATATATATATATATATATATATATATATATATATATATGTATATATATATATATATATATATATATATATATATATATATATATATATATATATATATATATATATATATATATATATATGTCGAGTTATTTTATATATAAAATCCCTCTCTCTGAATCCTTTCCCACAAGCACCCACAATATGGGTATGCAGCCCACCACCACCCACAGGATGGGTAGGGACTCACCACCACCCACAGGATGGGTAAGGGACCCACTACCATCCACAGGAAGGGCATGGGGGTCCCACTAATACCTACAGGAAGGGCATAGGGTGAATAATAAATTAAACTAAACCTCTCCTCCTGCCTCCCTCAGGTGATTCGCGAGGCCTCCAAAAAGATTCAGAAGCTGGGTGTGGCGGGTCGACACGAGACGGAGCTGCCCCCAGACGTGGAATTCAAGCTGGATGAACTAAAGAACATTATCCGGAAGGCGGAGACTCACAAGGCCAAGGCCGAGGCCAGACTCGAACTTATCAAAGAGGGGGGAAGTAAGTCTTCATTTAACACACACACACATATATACAAAAACACAAACACACTAGGTGAGTACACCACACACACACACACACACACACACACACACACACACACACACACACACACACACAGTGTTATGTAGTGATGTAGTGGAGGCTGACTCCATACACAGTTTCAAGTGTAGATATGATAGAGCCCAATAGGCTCAGGAATCTCTACACCAGTTGATTGACGGTTGAGAGGCGGGACCAAAGAGCCAGAGCTCAACCCCCGCAAACACAACTAGGTGAGTACACCACACACACACACACACACAACCATAAGGGGAATTATATAGTAATTGTTGTTTAAAAGTAAAATGCAGCAAACTTGAGCAGAAAGTTAAATTCACTAGTTATATGCTGCATACCTTTCATGAAATCTTAGCATAGCTGAGAAAGGTAATTAGTTTGAAAGTCAATACTTTAAATTTAAATAATTATTGATCTCTTTCCAGTTCTTCAAACGTGCTTAAATATGTTCTTTTTTTACAGTAAACTAAAATTATAGTTAACTATCTAGCAATTTTATGATTTTTTTGTAGAGAAACAAAATTTAATTAAAAGTTTCTCTGAAACTTTCAATTATCTGAAACTAAAAAGATAAATTTCTATGTTGTCAGCTTGCTTTCTTCACTACTTGGGATTCAAACTGTGCCACGTGTCTGATGTACTTCTTGTTTCACAGTTGAGATTGAGGACTACTCCAAGAGCTTGGACAGTGATAGTCTGGGGGTGGATCTTGACACCTCGCTCAGTCGGTCCGGATCCACGCTTTCCGTCAGGGAGGAGGTCAGGTCACTGTTTCTGTTGTCTCCAACCAGGTAAAGTGGGGTCAGGTGATTGATCCTAGTTTCCCCAATTAGGCCATGGGGAGGTCAGGTCACTGTTTCTGTTGTCTCCAACCAGGTAAAGTGGGGTCAGGTGATTGATCCTAGTTTCCCCAATTAGGCCATGGGGAGGTCAGGTCAATAATTCTAGGGTTCCCAATCAGGTCAAGAGGGGGGGGGGGTTCAAGTCTTATATGAAGTCAAAGGAGATCATCTCATTGTCCGTGGGGTACCCTTTAAACTAGGACATATGGAATCAGATCTTGAATTTGCCTGAATGAGTAAAATATGATGAATTATTGCGTTGATACGCCTGCCCTGACGTGTTTGGGTTGGCATGTCTACCCCTGACGTCTTTGGGTTGGCATGTCTACCCCTGACGTCTTTGGGTTGGCATGTCTACCCCTGACGTGTTTGGGTTGGCATGTCTACCCCTGACGTGTTTGGGTTGGCATGTCTACCCCTGACGTGTTTCACTTCTTTTTCTTTTATTTTATCGGCCTCTCCTGTAATACCAGCCTATTCCCTAATGACACACACACACCCTGCTAATCAACCAATACATTTCCAGCCCATTTGCCCCATAATTATTTTATCAACCTGTCCACACCTTACGTTTCTACTCAACACTACTCCACAGGGTTTAACACACACTGTAAACCATCCTACCCCTCACATTCTACCATAAGCAAGTTCATTCCTTCCCAACCAACTGTACATTTTGAGTCCACCCTCCGTAATCCTAACCAATTCAGCCCACATTCTACCATCCAGCCCACCCTTTCCCAAGGTATATCACACCCTCTCACTCACACCCCCACCCGCCAAACACACACCGAAACTACGACGTTGGTACAACGTTCGAACAAGTTTTAACACCTCCTAACCAGTTATAACAACCAATATAGCAAGTTGTAACAACGTTCTAATACGTCATAAACACGTTAAGCCAAGATGTAACAACTTTATTACAAGTTGTAACAAGCGGAAAATAGAGACAGTTTCGGTTTGTGTTTCCAGGGCACCCCCTTCATCCACCCTTCACCCCAACACGCCCTGAGATTGAGTAGACTGCAGCCTAATTAGCCAAGGTTATACCTACAGTTGGAGGCCGGAGGAGGAGACTTCGACGGGGAGCATGCCGAGACGGAGACCGTGACGAGCAACTCTGCAGCAGAGCCTGTGTCTCTTGACTCAGGCAAGGAGGACTACACACAGTCACAGGAAGATGGTAAGATCTGGAAATGGCTGGAGTATGAAAGGTTCTGGAGGGAGAGTTGAGTTTCTCGAGGAGGAAGATAGACAGTTGAGTCCACACAAGCGACTGGTCTGAGTCAATAATAGTGGGCAGGACCAGAGCCCACAATGCACCCACACTAGGCTCTAATCCACTTATAGGGTCACACTACCTGGTATGATCTTGGATGGTACCAACCATGTGACAAGTGCAAATTCTACCCTAAGTCACCATGTGGTGCATTTCCCAAACCACGGCATGGGAAAGAGGAGAGGTCTAACCCTACGATTCATGTAACAAAGACCTCTTGTAGTGTAGAGGGAGAGGAGATCAAGGAGCATCACTGGAGTAACATGGACACAGCTTCAATTACTTCAGGGAGCCGGTCGGCCGAGCGGACAGCACGCTGTACTTCTGATCCTGTGGTGCTGGGTTCGATCCCAGGCGCCGGCGAGAAACAATGGGCAGAGTTTCTTTCACCCTATGCCCCTGTTACCTAGCAGTAAAATAGGTACCTGGGTGTTAGTCAGCTGTCACGGGCTGCTTCCTGGGGGTGGAGGCCTGGTCGAGGACCGGGCCGCGGGGACACTAAAGCCCCGAAATCATCTCAAGATAACCTCAAGATAACACCAGGCTGGTGTCCAATATGTCTCTGGCTCTGGGGAGACTTCCCCTCAGTCGTCACATTACCTTTTAATCTGGGTGAGTCTTGAGACTTGGGTTACCAAGAGACTGTCATGTCAATGTTACTTGTGCGTAGTCCAGATTTTCCCCAGTTACTCAGGTCATTGATATGTTTAGGGGTTAGTATGTAGTGAGATATACTCATGCCTGTGGGGGTATGTGGAAAACCCAGTGACGCACTTGTGGTGAAAGAGAAATTGAAATTGAAATAGAAATAAGTTTATTGAGGTAAAATACACACAAAGGGATGAAGTAGCTCAAGCTATTCTCACCCCGTTCAGTACATCGTGTTAATACATACATAGACACACATCACAAACAATAAACATATTACCGAACATTCTGAGAGATAAACATATACATTTCCTCCTTTACACAAGTAGGTGTAAGAGAAGTGGCTTGGAATTGTAGAATGGGTTAGTGAAGAACGCCAGGTGGTGGAGAAAGCCAGGTGGTGGAGAAAGCCAGGTGGTGGAGAAAGCCAGGTGGTGGAGAAACCCAGGTGGTTGGGAAAGCTAGGTGGTTGGGAAAGCTAGGTGGTGGAGAAAGCCAGGTGGTGGAGAAAGCCAGGTGGTGGAGAAAGCCAGGTGGTGGAGAAAGCCAGGTGGTGGGGAAAGCCAGGTGGTGGAGAAAGCCAGGTGGTGGAGAAAGCCAGGTGGTGGAGAAAGCCAGGTGGTTTGAAGGCTGTATAATAGGTTTAGAGAAAAGCCGGATGAAGCCTGAAGTTAGCTGAGAAGTTGGTAGAAAAATATGTGAAGTGAAAGTTGTCTGATATTTGTACCTCATTAAATATCTCATTGTGAGTCAATTTGGATGGCTTGATTTTGGCCATAACTTAACATCGTTAAGTAATTTATATACAAGTTTAATGGAGTAACATGTAATACAGTACTGAACCAGAAGATAACATATCTGAATTATGAAATAAATTTAGCAAATGATTTTTACATTTTAAGTGATAATGATGAAATGCACAGACTACATGAGCATAGCACCATCATCGTCATCACCACCATAAGCATCTTCCTCACCACCATTAACATCATCACCACCACCATTAACACCATTACCACCACCATTAACACCATTACTACCCCTTTTCCCACTTTCGTGAGCTAGGGACAATCGACTTGAGAATGGTCCAGGACGGACCGAAACGTCGTCGTCCCTTCAACTTCTAGTGTGTGGTCTGGTCAACAGGGACCATCTGCCCAGAAAAACTATGAGTGCCAAGTGGAAAATGAGATTAAGAATACCCAAAAAAGCCAGGCCATTCATCCTCTTTCAATGGCTATCTTTCCCTATTTTTACTGACCCCCCCCCTATTAGAATGACTTACCTCGAGCATCTAATCCCTTATTGATTGACCCCAAGTTCGACCTCTATCCCATTACTAACCCCCTATTTATGCATTTCTCCCCCACCTATCCCATCAGGAAAGGTTGAACCGAGCATGTGGGACCCCACCAGTGTGGACTGGGGGGATGTTCCTGCCTCACCACTCCCCCCCATCACAAACGGTCCCCCCGAGGACCAGGCCGCGTACCCCAAGTGTACCGTCTTGTACAATTACACCGTGAGTACCTGCTATTACACCCTCTGATGTACAGCTGTACGGTGAGTATATGCTTCACCTGTTGTACAGGTGCGCATAGTATGTTTCACCTGTTGTACAGGTGCTCATAGTATGTTTCACCTGTTGTACAGGTGCTCATAGTATGTTTCACCTGTTGTACAGGTGCTCATAGTATGTTTTACCTGTTGTACAGGTGCTCATAGTATGTTTCACCTGTTGTACAGGTGCTCATAGTCAGTATGTTTCACCTGTTGTACAGGTGCTCATAGTCAGTATGTTTCACCTGTTGTACAGGTGCTCATAGTATGTTTCACCTGTTGTACAGGTGCACATAGTCTGTGTCACCTGTTGTACAGGTGCACATAGTCTGTTTCACCTGTTGTACAGCTGATCATAGCCAATATGTTTCACCTTTTGTACAGCTGTTTATAGTATATTTCACCTGTCTAACAATTGCATCGTGAGTATATTTCCTGCAATATACAGCGACCAGTATGAACATGTTATAACTACTGCGGATACAGAGAACCCGCCAAGAGAAAACAATGCCATCAAAAAATATTAAAAATGAGGAAAGCATCGAAATGTCGTCGCTTCCTCATTTTCAAATGAGTAGATTGGGCTTAAACTCTTCAGCCCCGTTATTGGGACTGATTGTCTCCAAGGAATATTAAACTTCATTGCTTATTGTCACATGTTTTCAGAATGTGGCATTGATGGATATATTTATTATTTATGTCGTTAAATATCATGTGGCGATAGAATGCTTTTACAATGCTTATCTATCCAGGTGGATAGATAGGCTCATAAGTAAACATGCCATAGGAGAAGCGTAGTCTGAGAAGGTAAACTGCATTTCTTAAGAGTATACACACACTGGATAGTCTATTGAGGTGACCTTAATAACGCTTCAGATATTGGTAGGCCTTAATAACTCTCCAGAGGTTGATAGACTTTAATAACCACCCAGAGGTTGATAGGCCTTAATAACAAATCCACAAGGGCCGTGACGAGGATTCGAACCTGCGTCCGGGAGCATCCCAGACACTGCCTTAATCGACTGAGCTACGACAGGGTAAAAGAGTTGAAACTGAAGTTCTACTGAACTTACTGGATAATAACCTTACTGCCTTAATAACCTTCCAACCTGCAGAGGTTGATAGGCCTTAATAACCTTCCAACCTGCAGAGGTTGATAGGCCTTAATAACCTTCCAACCTGCAGAGGTTGATAGGCCTTAATAACCTTCCAAACTCCAGAGGTTGATAGGCCTTAATAACCTTCCAACCTGCAGAGGTTGATAGGCCTTAATAACCTTCCAACCTGCAGAGGTTGATAGGCCTTAATAACTTTCCAAACTCCAGAGGTTGATAGGCCTTAATAACCTTCCAACCTGCAGAGGTTGATAGGCCTTAATAACCTTCCAACCTGCAGAGGTTGATAGGCCTTAATAACCTTCCAAACTCCAGAGGTTGATAGGCCTTAATAACCTTCCAACCTGCAGAGGTTGATAGGCCTTAATAACCTTCCAACCTGCAGAGGTTGATAGGCCTTAATAACCTTCCAAACTCCAGAGGTTGATAGGCCTTAATAACCTTCCAAACTCCAGAGGTTGATAGGCCTTAATAACCTTCCAAACTCCAGAGGTTGATAGGCCTTAATAACCTTCCAAACTCCAGAGGTTGATAGGCCTTAATAACCTTCCAAACTCCAGAGGTTGATAGGCCTTAATAAACTTCCAAACTCCAGAGGCCTTAATCCCAACACAAAACCATAAACAAACCCGAACTCATGACCGCCATCTTGCAGGCCCAGAACCCAGACGAACTTACCATCGTTGAGAACGAAGAGCTGGAGGTCATGGGTGAAGGAGATGGAGATGGCTGGGTCCAGGCCAGGAACTACAAGGGCGAGGTAATTTCTCTCTCTCTTATTATTTCTTTCGCTCTCTATTTCTTGCTCTTTCTCTCTTTCTATTTCTTTCTCTCTCTTTTCAGATTTATTTTTTTTAACCACGGTAAAAATTACGTAATACTGTTTGGAGTTTGAAGGTAGGCTTTTGTAGGCTTTTTACAGGAGCTTATGTAAAAATTTTGAGAAGTTTACAGTGTCGTAAGTATGCTACAGTTCTATACATTGTGGTAAAGTTTGGTAAAGCTTCTCAAATTGTATAATGTGAGAGAAGTTCATACAATCCTATATTATTATTAATCTTCCTTCCCCTTGGGGTAGGTTGGGTTCATCCCGCAGAACTACATCGAGACGGATGAGAGCGGCTCAACGGCCGCCAACGCTGACTTCGCCAACTTCCCTGAGCCCGGAGCTGAGGACAGCATGACGGGAGAACCAACAGCCTCCAGCGCCGCTGCTGAAGGAGCACCACAGAGGGGCATCTCCTTCTCCTCTGTTGAGTACAACCTCGAGGTAGGCCCGCGCCCACACCATCAACATTCACAGTGTGACTCGTGGCTGCTAGATTAAACAGGGCTAGATATTATTCTTTGTCAACTGAATGAGGTTAAGTTGACCAGACCACACACTAGAAGGTGAAGGGGCGACGACGTTTCGGTCCGTCCTGGACCATTCTCAAGTCGATTGTCGACTTGAGAATGGTCCAGGACGGACCGAAACGTCGTCGCCCCTTCACCTTCTAGTGTGTGGTCTGGTCAACATACTTTAGCCACGTTATTGTGACTCATCGCCTGCATATGAATGAGGTTAATTTTATGTGAGGCATGGATCTAAAGCCATTATATCTTCGTTATGTATTAAATATTCTTTGCAGATTGATTAAGGCATAAAGATTTGTTTCTGCTAAATCATACTTTACATACAAAGTTTCTAAGTGAAGGAACGATCTTTATTATGGACATTAGCGTTAGTATGCAAGCCTTATCATTAAAGTTCTATTTTTTTTTATCTGCACTGCCTGGGTCTAGAATTTAAAATTTGTACACGAGCTTACAGGGGTTTGAATCTTTCTCCTGTTGTTTCTAGGTTCAGGTTCAAACTGTGGGAAAGTGAAGCTTCGGGTTACCCTGTTGCACTACCATAGGCCCAGCTCAAGTACTCATTAATCTAGTAGCCTTTCCTCCTGTTTATGAATGAAGATCGCTGTACATATAAGTCATGACTAATTGTGTTCGAACTGTAATCAAATAGTGCTTTGCTCATTTACGGTGTTTAAATCACACTAAACGCGAAATAATCTAAAATAATCTTGAATCTAAACACTTCACACAAGTAATTCCCAACGGAATCATAGCACCTAACCTAACGTACCCTTGGCCTGTTATACGAAAGTTGAGAAAATATTGGGGGTGTTTATGATGGGATTGAACCCACAGTCCAGATTGAACCTCTAGACTGTGTATACACAAAATAAACATTTTGTATTTTAGAAAATACAAGTTTGTGTTACAAAGCACGGCCTCTGGGGATGGCCGCAGCTTTGACGAGCATTACCAAAGGATAGGTTATTTGCACAGACAATATTGTCATTCGTATAGTTGATACAAACATAAAATTTCCCAGTGGGCGCATGTTGGGCAAATGACGTTGATTCAACGTTAATTCAACATTGACAACATTGATTCAACGTTATTTGAACATTTTTACCCACTGGGCATTAGTCCTTGGACTTCCTTTTATTACATTTTCTATAAATTATTTTTTTCTAGTGCTCATGGCAATAATTCTCTTTTTTTCAGCTGTGTAAAACTAATTTTGCAAGGCACAATATTTTTTGCTTCATTGATGAATATAATACTTTCATCATTTTTTGTAGTTTGCTAATTCAAAGTTACTTCATGCCGAAATGCTTTTGAAAGTACAATACTAGTTTTCCCATTTTTGATATTTGATATGGAAATGTGTTATAGAGACTTGATTAGCACTCACATATTTGCCTGCTCTATTTACTATTTTCAGGAAACTGCCATATTCCACAGCTAAACTCTATTAGCATTCTCGGCAATTGGTTATAATTTTCTAGCATACCTAAGCCTAAGGTGATTGGCTTAGGTATTCTTAGGCTTACTCATCATCATCACAATCACCTAAGGTGATTGTGGTGATGATGATGAGTAGGCCAGAGAATGGGGTCCTCAATATCTCATCTCCAGCATCTTCTTCTTCTCATTCTCGGCATGTTTTTCCCACGAATCTATTTCTCATTCTTGGCATGTTTTTCTCTCTAATCTATTTCTCATCCTCAGCAAATTTTCTCATGCTCAACATCTTTTTCTCATTCTCAGTTTACTTTTCTTATCCTCGGCATCTTTTTCTCATCCTCAGCATATTTTTCTTATCAGAATATTTTCTCATCCCTGGACTCTTTTTCTTATCCTCAGCATCGTTTTCCCATCAGCATCTTTTTCTCATCCTCTACATCTTTTTCTCATCCATGGCATCTTGTTCTCATTTCCAGCATCTTTTTCTCATCTTTAGCATCTTTTGTATTATCTTTAGCACCGTTTTCCTCATTCTTGGAGTATAATTAGAATTAGCATATTTTCCCCGTTCTCATCATATTTTTCTCATTCTCAGCATCTTTTTCTCACTCATGTTATCAACATCCTCAGTATATTTTTCCCTCAAATATTATGCATATCCTCAGTATCTTTTTTTTTTATATATATTCTGTTATCATCGAAAGTATCTGTAGAGGATTATTATTTTGTGTTATCATTTGTTATCATATTTTAGTGTTATCTTTTTTCATAAAGAGAAATGAATGTGTCGATTGATTGTGTATTGTTGCATTTTGTTGTATTGTGTTGATAATTATTAATTAATTCATGTTTTTCATGTATCTATATCAGCTGTAATCATTTGATTCATATTTCATTTACAAGACTTGATATTATGCTATCAAATGTTTGAGTAATATTGTGTTGGGGTAGTGTGTAATGTTTTGTGTTTCATTTATATGTTCTCTGTTTCATTCAGGCATATGTTCTCTGTTTCATTCATTTATATGTTCTCTGTTTCATTCAGGCATGTGTTGTGTTTCATTCAGGCATGTGTTGTGTTTCATTCAGGCATGTGTTGTGTTTCATTCATGCATATGTTCTCTGTTTCATTCAGGCATATGTTCTCTGTTTCATTCAGGCATATGTTCTCTGTTTCATTCAGGCATATGTTCTCTGTTTCATTCAGGCATATGTTCTCTGTTTCATTCATGCATATGTTCTCTGTTTCATTCAGGCATATGTTCTCTGTTTCATTCATGCATATGTTCTCTGTTTCATTCATGCATATGTTCTCTGTTTCATTGATTAATTTGTTTTCTGTTCATTCATCCTCAGCATCCTATTCATTGTTTCTTGTTCCTATCCATTCATATGTTTCTTGTGTTATCCCTTCATTTGTTTTCTCTATTATTCATTCATACATTTCCTGTGTCATTTATTAATACGTTCCGTCTCATCCATTCGTACATTCTCTGTCTCATTCATACATAAGTGCCATGTCACATTTATTGATGAGTTCCCTGTCTTATTCATTGATAATTTCCTTGTCTCATTGATTCATACATTCCTCTGCTCATTCATAAGTTCCCTGTATCATTCATTCATAAGTTACCTATCTCATTCATTCACAAGCTTCCTGAATAATTTATTATTTATGTAATTAAAATATATGTTTTACCAGTGGTAATAATGTTTACAAGTGCAATCTTAGGTCATAAGTTCTCTGATGTATTCATGATTTTTTAATTACTGTAATGTTTGTATGACTATAGCTCATTCATAAGTATGTTGGTCCATGGACGGCCTCTTCAGGCTGTCCATATGAAAGCTTCACGAAGCCTCGAATCAGTTTTATTTGTAAAATTAAAGAAAAATTAATTTATATTTCACATATAGGTAACAAAAATGCAATATACTGTACATACAGGATGTGTATAATTTTGTTGTTAAATAAAAAAAATGAGTTACTTTCTTTAACATGTTGTAAATTGAACATAAATAAAATAATGGGATTCGAAGCTTCGTAACGGTTTGCACATGGACTCCTTGCTCCTCCCTCCACCCCTTCTAGGGCAGATCACGGCAAATAACGTTAAACATTGACTTAATGTTGATTCAGTGTTAATTTAATGATGATTCAATGTTGATTCAATATTTATTGAACGTTACTCGAGCATGTTTTGCCCGCTGGGGGTATATATAGCCTGTGTAAGAGTGTATGTGAATGACCTCAGCTGAGTTCCACTGTCTTCCCACCAAGACGGAGGAGGAGGAGTTGGCAGCTCCTGTGTCTTTCTCCTCCCTGGATTACAGTTTCGAGGTGGGCACCACATCACCGCTATACCCCCCCTCACCCCTCACAGTTTGATAGCTTGTGTGTGCACAGCATTTTACACGCTTCAAGCTTGGCTTGGATCAGACTCAGCTTGGACGATGTTAAGCTCGCATCAAACTGAGGTCGGCCAGATGCTAATGGTTCCGATTTAAGCTAGGCTTTTTGACAAAGCTTAGCTCGGATCATGCTGGGCTCAGATCAAACTTAGTTCAGATCAAACTTAATTGTGATGAAGTTTAACTCAGATGAGCCTATGCTCAGATCAAGCTTAGTTGAGAACAGGCTAAACTGAGAGATGCGCACCTGTGGTTGCCTGCACTAATGACACTTGTCCCTGAGCTCTTAATTAATTAGTCACACCTCTTCACTATAACTTCCATGCTGTAAACACATCATTTTAGATGTAAAATCTGCTTCACATATTATACACTGCTCGGGAAAATCCAGATTAAAAAATGAAACGGGAGATATTTGGATCTAAATTTCAGCAATATTCCTTTAGCCCAAGTTTTGGAGAGCCTTGCCTATAGTGAATTATCTAAAGGTTCAGTTCATTTGAGCCTTTTCTTCCTGGCCTGGCTTCTTAGACTGCTAATCCCTCTTCCTTCCCCCCCCTACCTGTTGGGTAATACAGTTTATACTTGTTTCTAATATTTCAGATTCCTGTTATGTATAGGTAGTGATTAAACCTGTTTTCTGCCTCTTCTTAGAATGGATTCTCAGGGTCCTCATTTGACCGAATCTGATCAGTCTGCCTTGGCATACCGTGGCTTCTACCTACTTTGGTATACTCTGCTCCCTAACCGCTTTGGTATACTCTCTTCCCTGCCTGCCTTGGTATACTCTGGTCCCTACCTGCTTTGGTATAATTCATGTATTGTATCCATTTTCACCATCAACTGTTGTTGAGCTCTTGGCTTTCTCTGCATATGTTTAGTATGTTATACTTCTGCGCATATGTTTAGCTTCGTATACTTCCTTCCTACGGTGAGTGGCTTATCGCCTTATAACAAACTTGTAGTGGCAAGCTTATATCATGTTATCCTCTTAACAAATATGAAAAAATTGCTAATTTTTAACTAATTTATTGAGTTTAGTTGCTTTTTACTTACCACTAATTTATTAATGACTTTTTCTTGATGAAACCTATTGTGGTTCAGTAGGCCTAATCAATTCTACTAATTTTGTAAACCCCTGAAATAACTATTGTGGACTAGTTAGGTATTAGGCTCAATAAATTAAAACAATTGTAAATATATGACACTGTGTCTACCATGTATAGTATTATGGCTGTATGTGTGTGTGTGTATCTGTATCTTCCTTGTCTGTGTTTCCCTGTGGCTGTGTTGTCTCTCTGCGTTGCACCAGAAGCACAGCATTTTCAAGCACACACGGTAAGATCAGCTCAGCTGCAGAATCGATCTAGCTGCTGAACAAATGCACAAGAACCGTGACGAGGATTCGAACCTGCGTCCGAGAGCATCTCAGACGCTGCCTTAATTCGCTATTGTGAATTCGCTTAATCACGCTATTGTGATTTCTGTGTGTAGTGATCTAGCGGCTGTTGGTTAGAATAACTGTAAACAGCTTCGATCCTTGTAAGAAATTATCAAAAGAAGGCACCAAGCCGAAAAGATTGTACAGCTTCTATCCTGACTGAACTAGATCAATTATATCCCTACATTTCTTACATTAAACCTATAATATAAATATGTGCCAAGAATAGTAGTAATAATTGTTATTCTTGATTCCACTGCATTATGAACGAATAGCACACATAACTGACAGACATAAGAACACGAATGACTGCCCCTTTGACTGTGAATAATATATTACATTTTGTTTTTAATTATTTCACCATTTTTTCTAATAATTACTTTTGTTTCACCTGTTTTATTGGTAATTACTTATTGTTTCACTTTTCTTTTTATATATATTTACTTCATTTATGAATCCAAGTTTTAGCCCAAGTCTAGCCTCGTTAGTTATTACTCGAGCTGCAGTAATTTGCAACCCAAGTTGACTAAAGTTATATCTGGACCTGAATAAGTTTTAACCCAAACTAACACAAGCTCTAACTAAACTTGACAGCAACCAAAGGTTAACTGAACCTGACAACATCCCATAAGTATTACTGAACCTGACAACATCTTAAGTCTAGTATAACTAACTCTTGACAGCAACATAACTTGAACTGAAGCTGACCCGTCCTCCTAATAGGACGTCGCCTTTTGACATATAATTTACTATAGCCAAAACTCGTCATACTAGAAGACGGTAGTGGCTCGCGAAATTGACATACTGTCCCATTTTATGTTTTGGGGTCCTCTGGTAGGTTAGAATAATGGTCACTTTAGCATGACTGTTTCTTGACGTTACAAGAAACATATATGTTTCAAGAAGTTTTTTATATAGTTTCAAGACGTTTCATGTATAGTTTCAAGACTATATGTTTCTTGACGTTGTAAGAAACATATATGTCCAGCCCGCCCTTAGCAGGGCGGGCTGGACACTAAGCCATGCTATAAATTAACAGAAACCTAAGTTTAACTTAATCTGAGCCAATTTATGACCTCCTGCAGGGTGGAGAGGAGTATAAGGGAGGAGAAGAGTACTCATGTGAGCCTCCTGACGACCTACCGCCCCCACCACCACCACCTCCAGCAGCAGCAGCAGCAGCAGGAGGGGATGACCACAAGGCTGCTCTCCCAAGACTCTCTCTGCCTGTAGATGCTGACCATCTTTCACGTTAGTACCCGGTGTGAGGGGAAATAGATGGCAGGTGAGAGAGGGGATAGAGAGAAGGTGGGAAGATAGATGGAATGATGAAGAGGGAAGGAGGGAGAGGGGATAGATGATTGTGAGAAAAATTACAGGTTATTGAGGCGAACATGGCAGGTGGGAGAGAAGACAGATGGAGATGTCAAGATATAAAATGATGTCACCAACATTCCTTTAAAACAAATTCGAACACCATACTAAGAACATTTCTTATTACAGTAAACTGCATAATATATTAAAATGATAACTATAGATTCATTTATCTGCTGTATTTCTTCAGTTTTTAATGTATTTTTTATGTAATTTTGCAGTTCAGTTTAATATTTTTGTAATTTTTGTCATGATATATAATTAGTAATGATAAATTTTGTTTTATAAATATTACAATTATCACATTTAACCCTATGTATATATAAGTAATTGCATTTTGTAGGCTACTATAAATAAATAAAACATTTTAATACAGAATTGTACTGTATATCAAAATCATACATAGCAATACGTTTAACAGGCGTGTACACTACTGTTATTATTCATATACAGGAATGTCAAACATGTTTGGCACCTGTATTCATGTCATCATTTGTGTATAAACTGAGAGAATTCAATATGTTTTTTACAACAGTATTCTCGCTGGTTAGTTATAGGCTTCAGCAGTGGCCTTAACAGCCCTCCAGAGGTTGATAGGTCAAGTCTCAAACATCATCAACAAAACTTGCTGGACGAAGCGTTATTGTGGTGGCTTTTGAAAACCCTCCAGAGGTTGATAAACCTTAAACCCAACACCAAACTTGCTAGTTGATTAGCATGTTATTATGGTGACTTTAAACAAAATCCTCCAGAACTCGATAGGCTTTAATCCCAACACCAAATCAACAGTGAATGCTAAAATGAATCACTGTTACAGTTGTGGAGCACTGCCGGGCCATGTACGACTACGAGGCTACGTGTCCCGAAGAGATCTCCTTCTCCGAGGGACAGATCATCAGGATTCTCAAGCGGTCTGTCCACGACGTTGACGACGGGTGGTGGGAGGGCGAGGTGGATGGTCAGCTTGGACTCTTCCCTTCACTGGTCGTCGAGGAGTGTCGCTCGGATGGTGAACCACTCACCCCTGATGTAAGTCATGCATCTGCAGTCATGTTTCAGGAACTTCTCATTGCAATGAGGCATGAGATATCCTTACCCTTTTGCTCGTTGTCTGGTTCTATTCATGTTTTGTTCAGTTCCCGTGTGGATCTTTTTTATCATATAGGTTCTTTATGTTTGACTCGTCAAGGTCTCCTTAAGCAGAGATATCTTTACCCTTTTGCTCGTTGTCTGCTTCAGTTCATGTTTTGTTCCGTTCCCGTGTGGACCTTTTTTATCATATGGGTTCTTTATGTTTGACTCGTCAAGGTCTCCTTAAGCTAGAGACTCAAAGTTCCCCCAGGATGCAACCCACAACAGTTGCCCTGATTCCCAGGGTACTTATTTACTGGTTCGTTTGCAGCTGGCATTAAACAGGGTTCTTTCTGCTGCATTCTTGTGTTCTAAGTTATCCCTTGATTATCCCTTGATGGAGGTTGTCGATTTAAAAGAACTTGATTTATTATTTGTTGGTGGTGGTGGTCTTTGCTTTTGTTGTTAATTGCTGATATGTGTTGTTGTTAATTGTTGATGAAATCTGTCGTTGTTGCCAATGTTGTTTGTTGTTGTTGTTGATGTTCTTGTTGTTGTTGTTGCTGATATAGTTTGTTTTTGTTCTTGCTGATGCTGTTGCTGTTGCTGATGATAATGATGATGATAATGATGATAAGGATGATGGTGCTGCTGTTCTGCATTTTGATGTTGCATGCCAAATCATGTTCTTCGCAAATTGATGATATTCTTAGACGTGAATCTTTTGACTGTTACATCTTTGCATGTTTGCCAGATTTGAGTCAATGAGAATTCCTGAAGATTCGTAGATTGATGCCATAAATACTGCTTCAATTGATGTCATATGTATGTACTGCTTCAACATAGCCGTGGGATATTCTCTTGTTTACCAAGGACAGAATCATTGTTTTTGCTTTCAAACAGGCTGATTATTGTTTCTGTATATGGTATGTATATATATTTGGGCTGTGCCTTCGGTAATTGATTATTCTAAGTGGAATATATTGTTCAGTGTTTCTTCTGCTGTTTCTCAGCTGCTTGTTACCATTATATATATATATATATATATATATATATATATATATATATATATATATATATATATATATATATATATATATATATATATATATATATATCTGTATTACTGTATACATACACAAACACACACACACACACACACACACACGCACACACACACACAGAATTTATGGGGCCTCGTAGCCTGGTGGATAGCGCGCAGGACTCGAAATTCTGTGGCGCTGGTTCGATTCCCGAACGAGGCAGAAACAAATGGGCAAAGTTTCTTTCACCCTAAGTGCCCCTGTTACCTAGCAGTAAATAGGTACCTGTGAGTTAGTCAGCTGTCACGGGCTGCTTCCTGGGGTGTGTGTGTGTGGTGTGTGGGAAAAAAAAAAATGTAGTTAGTAAACAGTTGATTGACAGTTGAGAGGCGGGCCGAAAGAGCAAAGCTCAACCCCCGCAAAACACAACTAGTAAACACACACACACACACACACACACACACACACACACACACACACACACACACACACACACACACACACACACACACACACACAAACACACACAATTGTGTGTGGGGAATTGACAAAGTGGAAATAGATGAAATGTTCACACGTAATAATAACAGAACGAGGGGACATGGGTGGAAACTGGAAACTCAGATGAGTCACAGAGATGTTAGGAAGTTTTCTTTTAGCGTGAGAGTAGTGGAAAAATGGAATGCACTTGGGGAACAGGTTGTGGAAGCAAATACTATTCATACTTTTAAAACTAGGTATGATAGGGAAATGGGACAGGAGTCATTGCTGTAAACAACCGATAGCTGGAAAGGCGGGATCCAAGAGTCAATGCTCGATCCTGCAAGCACAAATAGGTGAGTACAAATAGGTGAGTACACACACACACACACACACACACACACACACACACACACACACACACACACACACATTGTGCATTTGTTGCAAAAACTGCATCAGTCTCACCATTTCCTTTCCAGCCTCTTAGTTTAAAAGTGGCGGTATATAAAGCCGTCCTGACTGCACTGAGTCTTACAGGCTGTCAGCCCAGATTCACTACTCAATATTAAACAATTCCAATACGTGTAAAACTCATTTGCAAAGATTTTGTTTTATTCAGGAAAAAGAACCAATAATATACTGTATATGAATTATAGAAGAGAAGTATCTTCAATGCACAGATTCTATGGCTTAAGATATGTTGGAATGTCACCACTTGAGTATGTCTTGTTCCCTGTGTTCATGTCCTTAACAAACAACTTTTCATCTTAAGATTGTGCTGGGCATCTTCATTGGGCCATCTTTTAACTCATGCTAATGTTAATTAACATTAACATGTTAATGTGTATCTCTCATGTTTCCCTGCTCACCCTTCAAACTTTAAAGCATTTTATTGTAATATAAGTTTAGCAATTTCCAAACACAATCCCTCATGGCTCTATGTCCAATCATCACCTTCAAATTCCTTGTGTATTACCTAGAGCTTGTGGATTTACCAATCTGTTGTTAACGCCCCTCGTGCATCCCTCAACCGTATCCTCTTGCTCATTACATTCTGTGCATGCCTCAGCTATGCTTTAATGCATATATTACATCCAGTTCATCTTGCATCAATGCCCCCCAATGCTCAAGAAAGCTTATACATGAATTGAGGCAGCATTTGCATGTGTTGTTCCTGTCCTTGGTGGCTCTATGTACGTGTGCATGTCATCTCCATTAGTTCTCAGGGAGGGAGCCGAGTTGTCTTCCCTTAAACAACCCAAAAGAACCCAGTTCCTGATGGTGTCTTGGTTTCTCCTTGTCCTCGTGTCTCTCTCCGTAGTCATTCCATTCAATTACCTTTTCCTGCTAAGTTGTTATAACCTAATCACTATTTGCTAGAAGCTCAACTAGTATTTTTTTTTTACATATCCTTATTTTTTCCTGTGCCAATTCCTAACTAGTCTGCACTCTCACCCTATCCTGCACTCTCACCCTATCCTGGTACTGTTGTCCCTATCCCTGTAGTCATCTTATCCTCGCACTTATGGCCTATACTTACAGACACCCTATCCTCACACTGTCATCTTACCCTTACATTGTCACCCTATCCCCACACTGTCACTATCCTTGCAATGTCACCCGGTCCTCACTGAAACCGTATCCTTGCACTGTCACCTAACCCTTGCACTGTCACCCAATCCTTGCACTGTCACCCAATCCTTGCACTGTCACCCAATCCTTCCACTGTCACCCAATCCTTCCACTGTCACCCAATCCTTGCACTGTCACCCAATCCTTCCACTGTCACCCAATCCTTGCACTGTCACCCAATCCTTCCACTGTCACCCAATCCTTCCACTGTCACCCAATCCTTCCACTGTCACCCAATTCCACTGTCCTTCCACTGTCACCCAATCCTTGCACTGTCACCCAATCCTTGCACTGTCACCCAATCCTTGCACTGTCACCCAATCCTTGCACTGTCACCCAATCCTTCCACTGTCACCCAATCCTTCCACTGTCACCCAATCCTTGCACTGTCACCCAATCCTTCCACTGTCACCCAATCCTTCCACTGTCACCCAATCCTTGCACTGGCATTCTATCCTTTCACTTATATCCTACCTTGCACTTATACCCCATTCTCACACAATCCTCGTAATTACACCCTATCCTCGCACTGTCACAAAATGTGACCCCCATTCTCCTAAATTCGTTTTTTGTCAAATTTCCTTATATTTTTCTGGATTCCATACCATATCCCAGCTCCTCCCCAAGATCAGGTTTCCCCTCCTTCACTCCCTCTACCTCATCCCAGCTCCTCACCAAGACCAGGGGTTCCCTCCCCTCACAAGCTCCGTCACCACTGTCAGGAGGGAAGCAGCCTCATCAGCAACTGTCCCCTCCCGTGCACTCTCCAGGTGTTCACGTTCCAGGCCATCTCTGGGGCGTCGCCGTGCACCACGCCGCCCCCTCACACCCCACCTGAGGTGCCGGGCTTCCTCCTGCCTCCAGAGAGGGTCATCATCACGCAGCCAACGCCGGTGCTGGAGACAGCTGAAGAGGATGAAGAGCAGGAGCAGACGAATGACGCCGAAGGTGAGGTCGTCCTCTCCCATTTTCTTGTTTCCATACAGTGGTTGGGCAGTGTCCCTTCACTCTGTTCTCATATCCCAGCTCTGTCTCCGTATCCCATCTCCTTATCCTCATATTCCTTCAGAGAACTGTTTAAGTCATACTGGCTGAGCACTTTCTTCTCATAATTACCTTACCTTACCTTCAAATTTTTTAATTAGTATTAAAGAGCGAGTGTTTGGTATAGAAACTTATATCCAAACCATTTGTTTTATCAATCACGTATCTTGTGTGCAAAATATTTTAAAATCAAATTTGATTGCTTACAGATCATAAGCTTTGATCCAGCTAGAAAAACGTTAATCCTGTGCGCCTATACTTTAGCAACACCATCCAACTACGAGCCTCCTAACTTCGAGTTGGAGCTGAGTGGAACGCAACAACAGCAGTACTCCCGACAGTTCAGCTCCTCCCCCGACAGCGAGACGACCGAGAAGGATCACCAGTACGCTGAACTTGTCTCCAGTCCCGACGTCTCCAACCAGGAGGTGAGAGACTCAGAACTAGAGATGGGAGACTCACAGGCTGCAGGTGAGACACTGGACAGGAATCTCAAAGGATGGAGGTGAGAGACTCGAAGGTTTGAGGTGAGAGACTCAGGCCTCGAGAAGAAGATTCAGTAGCTTCAAATAAGGCTCAGAGGCCTAAAATTAAATTCATAGCCTAAAGGTGAGAAATAATAGGCCTAAAGTTAAGAGACTGAGACACTGTAGGGTAAAACTCAAGGTTTGAAGACTGCCACACACCTCAACCTTGAGTCTGTGAATTATTCTTGTCACTTGTTAATGATGTCTCTCATAGTAACTTGTGCATCACAGATTAGATTATGTCATGCCCGGAACACTTCTGCCAGCACGTTGTTCATGTCTGTTCAATATTCTACTTTCTTCTTGTAAATATTTCATCTACCCCCCCCCCTCCCTCTGCAACTATTATCACTCCTTTGCTGTTTCTATTTAAAACTGATTTTTTTCCAACATGGAACTAACTAGCTGTAGTCTATTTCCTCCCTCACCTAATTTTAATGTAGGTACTTTTCTAGTCGAGTCCCCCCATCGATCACAATCCTTGAGCGCCCCATGTAGTAGAGTTTAACCCTCGTCTTGACGATTCACCCACCACTGCCCTCCCCTGGAACCCTGCAGGCTGGTGACCAGACGACCCACAGGGAAGAGAAAGAGCCGTCGACTACCACCTCTCCTGACGTCGATGAAGAGGTGAAGTTTGTGACTCCTGTAGGATATAGACCCGTCCTCCTTGCAATGTCTAGTAGAGCATGGGTAGTTATAGTCCTTCATCAGTAGTTGGCCTCGGCCAGTAGCGAGCCTCTCCACTAGCAGTGAAAATCTCAGCTAATAGTGAGACTTTTCACTCTAGTGAGACTTTTCACTCTAGTGAGACTTTTCACTCTAGTGAGACTCCATCAGTAGGGTGGCAATAGGCTCATCCGTTCGTCTGTCCGGGCATTAAGCTTAGGTCTATTACAGTATTACAGAATTTTGTTCTTGATGCTCTTGCAGATCGCATGTAAGTGACTATTTCATACATATTACTTTTGTCATGACTGCACAAATTCTTAAAGACTAATGAGTGAACATGAGCAGTATTATTTAAGTTTGAAACTTGTTAATGACAATTATGATGTATCCAAATTATAATTTAACTTAATTATGTAGGGAAAATCTGTAAAGTTATCAAGATGACCCGGAGAGACCTACAGACAGCCAGTAATTGTGTTTGAAGTCATATAATATGCAGGAATATAGTAGATAATGTAATGTTTTTATTTTCTCAGACATTGTTAATAATAGAAAGTTAATAGTAGATTTATGTTTTGTAAGTCATTCTCAATACACGTTAAGGAAATGATAGCAGATGTGTGCAGCAACATACCAAGGTTGCCACACTGTTATGGTTACATTTGTCTGTTCGCTGGGATTACACCTCACGTCACATGGAGCACGCGCCAGCGCTTGGTAAACAATATTCTTCTTTCCAGAGCATCATTCGCTGAATCGAGGTCCAATGTATCCGTCATCTCCCCTGCATGTGGGTCACTTATTTCATTTAAAAACTAGATTTTGCTTTTGGAAAAGTATTTAAATTTTTAACATTGTCAAATGATATGACAAAAAACCAGCGTTGAATGTAATGAAACGCCATTTTCTGGGTGAGCTCCGTCGGCTCCCTAAAGCTATCCGAGCTAAAACTATCCCAGCAAATACCCGAGTTGATATGTGCTATGTTAGTTTGGGTTCATCAGTCACAGAAGTTTTTATCCCTACCGGGAACCACGAGCCAGAACCTGGCCCCCTCAGAGAGGTGCAGGGAGCAATGGCATATGAGCACTTTACATTTAAAGTATGTCATAATTCCCATCGACCGGGTAAGGACCCAGAAAGGTATGCGAATCAAAACAGACCACTGTCTGATTAACCTGTGCAATCTACATCCTAAAAGATCAAAATAATTCCCTCTAGAAAGTAAAGCTGGCTGTGCCAGTCACAGTGCGCTCCACGCAGCCAATATCCATCCCCTACCCGATGCAAAACGGAAAGTCCATGACCCCCTGATGTACCCCAAGGGGCGAAGACAACATCAAGTGACGAAGTCCTTAAACGGGGAGTGATTTGAGGACTTTCCAGCAAAACGTCTCGGCGAAGATAACCCTGATACACAAAGGCAGTACTCACGGAGCACCTAGGGAACGTCACCCTAGGTGCATGCTGCTGTTGATCACTAAGACACCTGGCCAAAACACCACACACACACACACACACACAGCTGGAACAGCCACACAGAGCAAAAATCCAGAACAGGAACGTGAGGCCAAAGGTGAATGATCTGACCACCAGCATATCAGTTCAAGAACTGGAGTGATGGGCTGCCTGCTCTGTTGAGCCGGCTTCCCTTCCCTACGGGAAGGCGGAGGGGGTTGGGGAGGGAGGAGGTAGCACTAACGAACGAGAGTGTTAGTTGCATAAAGTGTTGCTTGTTGGGTTTCTTTTTAGAGGAGTTATTTTTATATTTTAGGATGTAGATTGCACAGGTTAACCAGACAGTGGTCTGTTTTGATTCTCCCGGCTTTTTGGGCCCTTCCCTGATCGATAGCAATTATGACATACTTTAAATGTAATGCTCGTAGGCAATGCTCCCTGCACCTCTCTGAGAAGACCAGGTTCTGGCTCGTGGTTCCCGGTAGGGATAAAAACTTCTGTGACTGATGACCCCAAACTGACATAGCACATATCAGCTCGGATAGCTTTAGGGAGCCGACGGGGCTCCCCACAGAAATACATATATAAATTTGACCTTTTTCCAGATACATTAATTGAATTAAAGATTTTTAAGCTGGTATGTAGGATGTGTGAATTGATAAATGTGTACCAGACATTGTTATGAGTGGTATTAGGAGCTTCCATGAGTGTTTACACTGTCTACTAGACACTTGTTTACAATTTACACTGTCTAGACACTTGTGTTTACACTGTACCAGACACTTGTGTTTACACTGTACTGGACACTTGCGTTTACACTGTACTGGACACTTGCGTTTACACTGTACCGGACACTTGTGTTTACACTGTACCGGACACTTGTGTTTACACTGTACCGGACACTTGTGTTTACACTGTACTGGACACTTGTGTTTACACTGTACTGGACACTTGTGTTTACACTGTACCGGACACTTGTGTTTACACTGTACCGGACACTTGTGTTTACACTGTACCAGCCATTTGTTTACACTGTACTGGACACTTGTGTTTACATTATACCAAACATTTGTTTTGGTACAGTGTAAACATGGTGTATATATATATATATATATATATAGTTAACATTTGCATTTATACGCGCCTTTGTGTAAGTTATAAATTAAATACATTAAATAAACTCCATCCCATTTTCAAACCTCGTTCAGGAAAATATTATATTACTAGTGTGGAAGTTGACAGTGATACGATAACAAATAATGATCAAAACACAGCTCACATAACCTCCCCCTAGATACAACTGAAGTAGGATACATCCATTATTTATTTGAAGGTGTCTGGGTTAATTGCCAACCTAGTTAAATGTAGAGTTCATTCAAAATTAGTACATATTTATATATATGAGGGTTCCCCCCCCTCCCCCCCCCCAAACCACTCTCCCACTTTGTGGGAGAAACAAATTGGCAAAATGATCAGGGAACGAGAAGGGCCTCAAAATAACAATACACTTTGGGTATATTACACATACTATCCTTATTGGGGTAGTAGCTGGATTTTTCAGTACTGGGTGGTGCAGCAGGTAGTGCCCTTCCTTTGGGTCACATACCCCTAATGAATGTTTTATTTTTTTATTTTGTGTGTGTTTCTCCTACTTGCATGATGGGTCGGGCTATAGGACGGAGAGGGTGACGTGGAGCGGAGTGAGTGGGACCCCTCAGCCTCCACCACTCCTACAGATAATGTGGAGGTGACTTCTTGCTAGAGCAGGCTAGTGACGGCCAGATTCACGAAGCAGTTACGCAAGTACTTACGAACCTGTCCATCTTTTCTCAATCATTGGTGGCTTTGTTGACAATTATTAAACAGTTAATGAACTCCAAAGCACCAGGTGTTTACACTGTATATAACAATAACAACAGTTGATTGGGTAGTTTTCATGCGTGTAAACTGTTTAATAAATGTAACCAAAGCCGTCAAAGATTGAGGAAAGATGTACACCTTCGTAAGTACTTGCGTATCTGCTTCGTGAATCTGGCCCCCAGTATCACACTATCCTCACCAAGTCCTCAAAAAATAATTTGGGGATGGGATATGTTTATAAATATAGCATTCGCATATGAGGTTCCTTGAGCTCTAAGATTAGGCTACTGTTAAAATTGTGGACCAAAATTATCTTTTGAAGTAGATCTATGATACATTTTTTTCTGTAGATGGGTATCCATTTGATGCATTTAGCCACATCTATTGTATGGAAATTAAAAAGTATTTGAAATTGAATCAATAGATTGCATTTAAACGGAGGCTATTGATAGCTCCTGGTTGGCATCTGTACGCACGAGTGAAATATATCGGTGAAGTAGCTAAAATCTTTAGATTCTTGCCGTCTTGAAGTTACCCAATCTCTTTAGTGTAAATCTCATAGTACTCAACATGAAACTTAGGAGTAGCTTTCCCAAGCCTGTTCTATAATCCAGTAATAATTGCCTCTAATCAAAATTATCACGTGTCTACAAGTTTGTTTTATTCCTAACTGATTTTTACAGATTATCAAATAAAATTTTGAAAAAAGCAGGTTTTCTCCAATGAATTTTTCTTGTGGTACTTATTTACTCTTGGCTTTTCCTTGATGCAATCCAGGGTGTTGATCTCGAGCCCTGGCTCGACGAAGTGGACCCAGAGGCCACCAACACTCCCGACTCTCTTGAAGAGGTGAACCATCTGGTCCAGAAACTTATGCCAGTTATATATAAATATATAATATATATTTAGAGAGAGCGAGAGACAGAGAGAGGGAGCATGGCTAGAGTTGCCGTGTGCTGCTTTATAGAGATTTGGATTTCATGCTACTAATAATATACTGTGAAATTTCACTTAGATCTGCTGTTTGTATGGATTCTGTAATTCAAACACTCTTCTCTATTCTATTTTTCATTAGTGCTAAAACTAGACATCGGATGACGAGCTAGAGAAATTTGGCTTAAATTCGACATTATTTGCACAATGAAAATTGTTGCCTAAAATCGTTCTGATATGTGTACAAGTAGACATGCAAGCTATTGACAGTGCTTTATTTTCTCGTGTCTAAAATCCCGAGCACAGATACTGAAATACGGCCTTGAGATATTGGATTTGGTCGAAAAAATTGCCATTTTTCTAAAAGGCTGATCCACGCCGTCTGTTGTCTATCACAGTTTTCTCTGGAGCATCTTAGAATGTTTTGTTTGCCGGATTTTTTAAGTATTATCTCTTAAAAACCTCAACCCTCACAAATCTTAAACATGTAATGCTACTCACTTCATTCAGTCCTAATGAGCCAATCTGCTCACAGCCTTACCGGTAGTGATGTCCTATACCCAGTGATGTCCTTTTTCCCACTGATGTCCTTTTTCCCACTGATGTCCTTTACCCAGTGATGTCCTGTACCCAGTGATGTCCTTTACCCAGTGATGTCCTTTACCCAGTGATGTCCTTTACACAGTGATGTCCTTTTCCCATTGATGTCCTTTACACAGTGATGTCCTTTTCCCTAGTGACGTCCTTGTTCATCATAATGACCTTGATCCTCTAGTGATGTTCTTGACCCTTTTGTCCGGCCTTGACCCTCTAGTGTTGCCCCCTGACATTGTGATGGCCTTTGACCTTTTTGTGATGACCCTCTAGGGATGGCCTTCACCCCTAGTGATGACCTTGAATCTAGTGATGGCCTTGACCTTGTAGTGAGGACTTTGACCCCTCTAGTGATAACCATAGCCCTCTAGTGATGACCTTGACCTTTTATTGATAGTTTTGACCCCTCTAGCAATGACCTTGAGCCTCTTGTGGTGACCTTAATCCCCGTATGCGACTCTTGCCTCTAATCTTTGCTCGTGTTATTAATTAGTTTTGACTTTCGTCTTAATTTTTTTCCCTAGAGATTGATTTTCATTAGAAAAAATAAACATTGATCAATTTAGATATAATTGCTGCTCTCCAATTCCATGCTTTCTTCGTTAAATATATCTGCCAGAACGGATCGTTTGCTATTGTTCCTCCTAGTGGGCCCCATGTTACTTATTTTGTGAGCTTTCAAAGGTCAACTATTATATATGAAGTAATATGAAAATATCAGAATCCAAATCCTCTGTATTGACACTCATATTGTATGGTCCAAGTATTTGCTGTGACATTACCATGTATGATATCTGTCTTTATAGGCTGATATCATACGGAAAGACCTTATATATCTCCACTGTCTGACCTCTGAAAGCTTACAATTGATTTTCTTTTTCCAGTTTACATTGTCAAGTTTGGTGTAATTATAAAATCATGTTTGTGTTTATAATTACAGATTTTAATTTGTAATGTTATGCCTCTTTGCCTTGATGCAAGCTTTCCTAACATTTTTATTTTGTAATTATTTCTTACATAATGTGTACTTTAAAGGTGGTATTATGTGTGACTTATTCAGCCCTGATGTTTAATGTAAATTATAAATTACTTCTATATTATTTTGTCATATGTTCTCTTAATCTTATCTTCAGTTGTTTTAACACTGAGCAATTGCCAGTTAATTAGAAATATTCAGCGTTTGTGGTGGGTTAAATCTGTTGCTTAGTAAGACTTTCATGTTTGATTTTTGCATTACTCTTTATTTTCTCTTCTACTCTGTTTCTGTGCCTTTCTCTAACTATTTATCTTGTTATTTCAATTTCTACTAATTTCTTTCCAATGTTATATTAATTATTGTTACTGTTTTTGTCTCAGTTGGTTAAGTAGTTATTATTTTCTTGTAAAATTTCATTGCTTTTGAACACAAATTTTGTATACTGTACTGACTTTTGTAAATGCTCTTTACAATTTTATGAATACTTTCCAGTTTCAGTTCAATGTGTGTATGTGTGTGTGTACTCACCTATTTGTACTTACGTATTTGTGTCTTCAGGATCAAGCTCTAGCTCTTGGACCCGCTTTTCTAGCCGTTGCTTGTCTATTGCAATGACTCCTATTTTCGTATCATACCTGCTTTTAAAGTTATGAATGGAGTTATCCTTTACAATCTGCTCCTTTAGGTCATTCCATTTACTCACTAACCTTATGCTAAAAAAAAATTCTAATATCTCTGACACATCTGAGTCTCAAGCTTTCATCAGTGTCCCTTTGTTCTATTGATATTCATTGTAAACATTTCATGTTTCCACCTTGTCAAGCCCTCTAAGTATTTTATATATCTGTACCATGTCTCCCTCCTCCTTTCTAACGTGGTCAGGTTTAGTTCCTTCAGTCTGTCTTCGCACCTCATCCCTCGCAGCTCTGGAACGAGTCTCGTTGCAAACTTCTGCACCTTTTCTGGTTTCGTTATGTGTTTTTTATATGGGGGCTCCACGATGGGGAGCTATACTCTAAGACAGGCCTAACATAGGTGGTATGTAGTGATCTAAAATCCTCCTTATTCAAGTTTCTGAATGATGTTCGGACTTTTGCCAGAGTATACAGCTGACGTTATTCTATTTTATGAGCCTCACGAGTTAGGTTTGGTGTTATGTTCACTCCTAGGTCTTTTTCTCTAGTAATAGGGAGGTAGTTTCCCTTCATCGTGTATTGGCCTTTCGGTCTCCTGACTCCTGTTCCCATTTTCATGACCTTGCACTTGTTAGTATTGAACTCCAGCAACCATTTCTGGACCAGTTCTGCAACCTGTTCAAGTCATCCTGGAGAATCTTACAATCCTTATCTGTCTCGACCCATCCTTATTAGTTTTGCATCATCTGCAAACATCAACATAAAAGACTTAACTCCTGCAGTCAAGTCATTTACATAGTGAGGAATAGAATTGGTCCCAGCACCGATCCCTGAGGCACCCCACTTGTTACTCTACGCCAGTCAGACTCCTTGCCCCTACTATCACTCTAACACCTGTTAGGTATAGAGTTTCCGGCTACTCCCGCCTGCTTCTCAAGTTTGTATAGTAGCCTTCTGTGTGTGGTACTGTATCAAGGGTTTTTTCGCAATCCAAAAATATGCAATCTGCCCATCCTTCTCTGTCTTGCCTTATTTTCGTTACCTTATCATAAAACTCCAGGTTCGTCAAGCATCATTTTCCTTCTCTAAAGCCATGTTGTTGAGTACTTATAAACCAAATTCTTTCTAGGTGTGCAACTAGTCTTAACCTTATAATTCTTTTAAGTACTTTGCAAGGGATGCTTGTTATCGACACAGGTCTGAAGTTAAGTGCCTCTACTCTTGTCTCCTTTCTGTAGATAGGCATGACATTTGCCTTCTTCCAGCAGCTGTAATCACCTAGTTGTACTCAACTAGTTGTGCTTGTAGGGGTTGAGCTTCGGCTCTTTGGTCTTGCCTCTCAACTGTCAATCAACTGGTGTACAGATTTCTCTGTAGCTATGTGTACTCCCCTATTTGTACTCACTTATTTGTGCCTGCAGGATCAAGCATTGGACCTTGGATCCCGCCTTTCTAGCCTCCTTCGGTTGTTTAAAGCAACGACTCCTGTCCTACTTCTCTATCATGCCTAGTTTTAAAGCTATGAATAGTGTTTGCTTCCACAATGTGCTCCTTTAGTTCATTCCATTTCCCCACTACTCTCACGCTAAAAGAAAACTTTCTAAAATCTCTGTGACTCATCTGAATTTCCAGCTTCCACCCATGTCCCCTTGTTCTGTTAGCATTCCATGTAAACATTTTGTTTATTTTCACTCTGCCAATCTCCCAAAGTATTTTGTATGCTGCTATGATATCTCCCCGCCCCCTCCTTTTTTCTAACGTTGTCAGGTTTAGTTCCTTCAGTCGCTCTTCATATCCCATTCGGGACTATCCTCATCACAAATTTTTTAACTGTTTCCAACTTCCTAATGTGTTTCTTAGGTGGGGGACTCCATGATGCGGCTGCATACTCTAAGACTGGTTTCACGTAGGCAGTGTAAAATGCTCTGAATGCTGCCTTACTTAGGTTTCTGAACAAGGTTCTAATTTTTGCTAGAATAGAGTATGCTCCTGTTTTTATCCGATTTATGTGCCTCAGGAGTTAAATTTGGTATTACATCCACTCCCAAGTCCCTTTTTCAAATTGTCACAGGAAGGTAGTTTCCCTTTATTGTTATTGTGTACTGACTCTTTTGTCTCCTGTCACCTTGTCCTATTTCCATAACTTGACACTTGCTCGTGTTGAACTCCAGTAGCCATTTCTCTGACCACCTCTGCAACTTGTTCAAGCCCTCTTGGAGTATACTACAATCCTCATCTGTCACAGCTCGTCTCATCAATTTAGTGTCATCTGCAGACATCGACATATAAGACTCAACTCTTGTAGACATGTCATTCACATGTATTAAAAATAGAACAGGTCCCAGCACCAATCTTTGAGGTACTCCAGTCATTATGGATCGCCAGTCTGATTTCTCGCCCCTAACTGTTATTCTCTGGCTCCTGCCTGTTAAGTAATTCTTTTCCCAAACTAGGGCTTTTCCACTTACTCCTGCTTGCCACTCAAGTTTTAATAGCAGTCTCCTGTGCGGTACTGTGTCAGAGGCTTTTTGTCAGTGTGTGTGTGTGTGTGTATGTTGACCTGGTACAATTCACAGTTGGTTTCTCTTCGGACATTTCTTGTTTGTTGTGTCTGTATGGGATAGGAATGATTAAGATTTGTTTACTGACAACTAAGGCGATTTTCTCCTTATACAACAGAGATCTAAATTTTTAAGGAGGCGATTTTCGTATTTACATTTGTTCTTTGAAAAACAGCAGTGTTAAAAAATCACAACCTATGCTATGCAAAAGAAAAGTTCTGTTATCAATTCATTTACTGTTTTATTATTCAATAACCTCTTTTGCAGGTATCCCTTTTTCATTATTTTATTATTTTCCATATATTATTTTCGCTTCAACTCTCTCCACACTCAGGGAAGTGATCTCCTGCGGGCACACGTAGTGGAGGTGTGCGAGCCTCCAGAGTCCCCACCTCTCCCAGAACCTCCCAAACAGGTGATCACTTTCACAGCTAATTCCCTCCCTCCCCTCCCCCCATCCCCTGCAAAATATACACACACATACACCTGTGATGTGTATCCCTGCCACATATTCAAGATAAAACCAGCAAGTGGACCTACACAACACACACACACACACATACACCTGTGATGTGTATCCCTGCCACATATTCAAGATAAAACCAGCAAGTGGACCTACACAACACACACACACACACATACACCTGTGATGTGTATCCCTGCCACATATTCAAGATAAAACCAGCAAGTGGACCTACACAACACACACACACACACATACACCTGTGATGTGTATCCCTGCCACATATTCAAGATAAAACCAGCAAGTGGACCTACACAACACACACACACACACACGCTGGTACTGTTAGATGGGTGGTGCCAGTGTGGTGTGGCTTTGTTGTTTGGCTCTGGGCAACTCGTAAACCCAAGCCCCGCCAGCACCTGTGAGAATCCTACCTTCTCTGTAAGCTTGGATGTTACCTCTACAGTAGTGAATGAACTCCCTGATATAAACGCTTCATATGATTAATAATATATAGCTTATTTAGTCAGCTCCTAAACCCCTTATATATGCTTGGAATAAACATGAGATTGAATTGACTTTAAAGATACAAAATAAACAGTCTATTAAAATATATTTTAGACAGGTTGAATTAAATTCGTTTAGAAATTTACATAATTTTTGTCATAAACACAGCAAGCAAATGGTGTGTAGTCATGAAGGAGACAGTCACTCATTAGCACGTCATTTGTCTAATCCCCAAACTATAATCTTCTCTCAACGTCGAGTTCATTCAGAAGTAAAAACTCTTGAGAAAATGGTGAAGCAATGGGGGAGGAAGGACAAACTGACCACACGTTTCCTAGGTGACCAGAAATCCGAGTTCAATTCCATCATGTTGCTTCAAGTTTTCTCATTGATATATTATGCTATTGTGATTTAACAACTCTTGATGCTCTTCACATAAACATAATGGTTCCTGACATTCTTGTTAATATTAAAGTATGGCATGTCAACAACAAAATTAATTCTCAGTCAATTTGCATGAGTCTTATTCTGGTACTAACATTAGTGATGAGGTAATGATTACAGTGGTAGGAAGATTGTGTTGAGAGTAATGACTAGGATTGTCTGGAAGATTGAGTTGACTAGGATTGTCTGGAAGATTGAGTTGAGATTAGTGTCTAGGATTGTCTGGAAGATTGAGTTGAGATTATTGTCTAGGATTGTCTGGAAGACTGTGTTGAGATTAATGTCTAGGATTGTCTGGAAGATTGAGTTGAGATTAGTGTCTAGGATTGTCCGGAAGACTGTGTTGAGAGTAATGACTAGGATTGTCTGGAAGATTGAGTTCAAATTAGTGTCTAGGATTGTCTGGAAGACTGTGTTGAGATTAATGACTAGGATTGTCTGGAAGATTGAGTTGAGATTAGTGTCTAGGATTGTCCGGAAGACTGTGTTGAGATTAATGTCTAGGATTGTCTGCAAGATTGTGTTGAGATTAATAACTGTCATAGTTCAATAAAATAAACAAAATTGCACTATTACACACGCTCAAGAGAACCATATTTGTACTTGCTGTTTATAAAATTATAAAAAAACATAATTCATGAAAACGAACATTCACAACATGAAGATTTAACAGCACTATTCCTTGCCCAGAAAGTTAGTTATGCTCTTTGGGTCCAAAATGGGGTTTCTTCTCTAACTAAAACATTTCTGCAACGTTTTTGCACCATTGTTTGATTTGGTTGCTGCAGTGTTGTCACATCTGCAACCCTCTGCTGTACTATCTCACGATCATTTGACAACATTGTAGAATATTTTGGAAAAGATTTGTGCTTCCCGGGAGATTAACTGACATCACATGGGTTTTTGGTTTGGTGTTGGGTTAAACCTTTACCCCAGTAAACACAAAACATGTTTTGTGTTTTGTAATCACAAAACAGAAAATATCACATTTGATATATTTTTTATATTGTTACAACGTTGTAAAAATACGGCAACAAAGTTGTAACAATGCTGCAACAAAGTTATATGAACATTGTAACAATGTTGTCACAAAGTTGCTGTGACAACATTGTAACAAAGGTGTACCAAAGTCGTAACAACTGAAAAAAAAGCAAAAGAAATCACAATGGTATGATATATCAATGAGAAAATCATTTGGAGCAATATGGTGACTTGAACTATTGTTCTAGTGACTCCCAGAAGCTTGCCTTAACCAACTCAGCCAAGATAGGACAAAACTATATTCAAACTCTACTGAATCCACCGGGAAGGTTACCGCATTATTCTAAATTATTTCCTCACTGATATATCATACCATTGTGATTTCTTTGTGTTCAGAAGGAGGGCCGTGTGGTGGAGGACACCATCACCAACAGGCCAGAGTGTTGGAGGGATATTGATAAAAGAAAACCTGGTTGTGGCAGCAGCTGAGGCCTCCAGATCTTCCCAGTGGATTCAGTAGCGTTCAAGGTTGAACAAGTTTTGTCCTATTGCCCGAAAAAGTTCATGCCCGAAACGCTTTGCGTAATAGTGGCTTTAGGCATTGTATGTACTAGCTCTATCTATAAGTCCACCAATCTTTGTAAAAACTTCTTGTATGTATGTACCTTACCTAAATAAACATTTATTATTATTTATTTATTTATTTATTATTGTGGCCGAGTTGGTAAGGCAAGCATCAGTCACTAGAATCCTGGTTCAAATCACCACATTGTTGCAAATGATTTTCTCAGTTCTCTGAAAGTTGTGACAAATGTGTAAAAAAAAAATTATAGCAACATTGTAACAAAGTTGTAATAATGTTAAAACTATTGTGATCTTGTTGTGTATCAACCACATAAGGGTTATTAAGGTTACATCAATAGCATACTAACCAACCTACAAGTATACTTCAGCCCAAAACATAGTCCAAGACTAAAGTAACTAAAAGTAAATCTCAGTGTATATGGAGTACACCTCTCAGTGTATATATATGTATTTAAAACAATGTGAGACTACGAAGGAAAGATTAAGACAGGAATTTCCTTAAGTACTTTCGTATTTCATAATACATCTTCGGAAGAATGGATTTACAATTCAGTGGTGTGGATATATAGGCAGGAATAAGGTGAGGTGAGAAACAATGTCTTTAATGAGATAAGGGGGGTATTAATAAGGTATTAATGAGATAAATGTGTATCAATGATCCCACTCAAATCGCCCTTTAACTGATCAATCAAAAATGGATCTAAATTATACAAACCACTAATAATGTTCAAATTACATGATTTTTTAATCTCTATTAAAGCAGATTCAATAATGTTTCTATTGAAAATGCCTTACAATTCATTATTAAAGAAGCCCTCTCCCAATCAATTTGGTGAGAACTTCCTGACCAATGAACAAACAAAGCATTAGACCATTAGCCATGTCTTACAGAGTAATACTCTGTAAGACATGGCCAGATTTTTGCATATTAATTTTTTGTCGGTATTCCTGATCTGTCGTTCACGAGGGATCCCAGACGTTGTTAAGTCATATTTTGGGACTGTTGGGTCAACACTGAGTATTTTGAAGGTTATAATAAGAAAACCTACACTCATTCTCGGGTCGATTCTCAAGCTGGGTACTTCTCACGACTTCCTTTCACTCCCCGGAATACATACCTTTCTGCCTTTCACTCCCGGAATACATACCTTTCTGCCTTTCACTCCCCGGAATACATACCTTTCTGCCTTTCACTCCCCGGAATACATACCTTTCTGCCTTTCACTCCCGGAATACATACCTTTCTGCCTTTCACTCCCCGGAATACATACCTTTCTGCCTTTCACTCCCCGGAATACATACCTTTCTGCCTTTCACTCCCCGGAATACATACCTTTCTGCCTTTCACTCCCCGGAATACATACCTTTCTGCCTTTCACTCCCCGGAATACATACCTTTCTGCCTTTCACTCCCCGGAATACATACCTTTCTGCCTTTCACTCCCCGGAATACATACCTTTCTGCCTTTCACTCCCCGGAATACATACCTTTCTGCCTTTCACTCCCCGGAATACATACCTTTCTGCCTTTCACTCCCCGGAATACATACCTTTCTGCCTTTCACTCTCGGAATACATACCTTTCTGCCTTTCACTCCCCGGAATACATACCTTTCTGCCTTTCACTCCCCGGATTTCACTCCCCGGAATACATACCTTTCTGCCTTTCACTCACCAAAGTACATCTCTTTCTGCCTTATATGAATTATCTTTTCAATACAAACATAAACAAATATTTTTTTCTTTATAATAATAATATTTTTCTTATTTAGTATACTCTTTCTCATTCTAGCAAAGGTGGTGTGTTTTTCTTCCTATTACAAAGTGATTTTTCTAATAGTATCCTGACATGATCTCTCTAACACTGTCCGAGTTCAGGTGGGTGAGGTGGAGTGCTCGAAGCTGGAGCAGGTGGTGGATCAGGTGAAGGGACAGGTGGTGGAGCAGGTGGAGGGACAGGTGATGGGGCCTGTGGAGGAACAGGTGGTGGAGCTCCCAGTCTTCTCTGCTCCACCTCAGGTGAAGATATGGCTGAATGTTTTCCTCTTGCGTCCAGTGTATCAATATCTCTTTTTGACTCAACCTACCATTCTTATTCTGGCCATAGTATTATCCATCACATAACATTACATTTTCAATTGCAAAATTTCTGGCCACCCATTTAGATTATCTTGCTGCTTAACCAGACTCATTTGCTGCCTCGATCTTCAGACTCCTAGGTCCTCAAACAGCTCTGTCATAGCTATACTGTATTTCTGTGTGTGTCAATAGCACTTACAATTTCCCAGGTCCCGTACTTCCCCAGAGACCAATACATGATCAAGTAACGTTGAATCTACGTTATCGACGTTGATTCATAGTTGAATCAACGTCGTTTCTCCAACATTTGCCAACTAAATTTCCACCTCCTACCCTATTGCAAAGCTATGCGCGTATTATTGAGTCTTCCAGTCTCTGTAGCCTCATGCAATGGATAGATAGCTTAAGTAAACATCTTGATGAAATCTCCCTCACAAGATCTTTCTCATGGTGTGGATAACAGCGTCTTCACAAGATATTTCTCACATTGTCGATAAGCACTTCCTAGCAAGATCGTTCTCACACCGAATTTAAGGAAGATCTTATGAGGACAAGCATCAAAATACTCCACGTGGCATTATATATATATAATTTCGAAGATATAGATGACTATCTTGCTCTGATGAAGGTGAATTGAGCCGAAAATGCATCCAGCGTTCTCTAATTCTTCAAATGTGGGTTTTCCACATAACTGGATTAGTGTTTTTGTGATCGTTGCACCATCTTTCCAGATAGATTGTAGAAGATTCATTTATTTAATCTAATACCCTTCATGGCATTTTAATTTTTATATTTGTTTACTTATTTCTTTCAGTTTTCCAGTCAATGTAAAGATACTGACAGGGATAATGAAAAGGCGCTGAGTAACTCATATTAGTCTGTCATTTGTTAGTCTTTGTCAAACTTAGTCTCGTTTGACTAATTTGATTGTTAGGTCTATAGTGATGATTGTGTACATGAAGGGTGATGTCACTGATGATTATGTCAGTGAATGGTGATGTCACTGATGATTGTGTCAGTGAAGGGTGATGTCATTCATAAGTGATGATTGTGTACATGAAGGGTGATGTCATTGATATTATGTCAGTGAATGGTGATGCCACTGATGATTGTATCAGTGAATGGTGATGTCAGTGAAGGGTGATATCATTGATGGGTGCGGTGAAAGAAGTGCGTAAGGTCCACCAGGATGAGTAAAGTGAGTGATGGCTTATTAAAGGGATGGGTAAATGCTGTGTTATTTATGAGTAATACAAAAAACATTAAAGTCACTCCATTGCCTCAAAATGATTTTCATTGATATATCATGCCATTGTGATTTCATTGATGTGAGTAATCGTTGCTTGGAAGGATGAGTAATGGGTGATGCTAGTAGTGGTCAAGTCCATTCCATCCAGTGGTCGACCCCAAAGACGCATTCATCAATTTTAACATGCTGTTCATTCAAAATAGGAATTTTCTCAAATATAAATTAATATTATTTTATATTAGGATATTGTGCATATTTAGGCATTGGTTAGGTTAGGTGTTTAGGTTCCATTGGCGATTATTTGTATTTGTAGTACGTGGGTGAAGCATTAATATCGTTGTGGTTTGAACAAAAGTCATCAGTGAAGCACTTGTTCCGGAAGTGTTCGAACGTCATCAATTGTGAGCCGTATGTAAACCATTTTCCATTCATAAACAGGGGATTTGGCGGGTGCATGGAATGACGTTTGGCCTTTGTTTATGAAGACGGGTTGGGTCAATTATGGCTGATAGTGTAGATGGATGAGAGAGAGGATGTTTAATTTATCCTCGCTGCTGGCGGGGTTTTGTCGTTTCAGCTTCTACCCCAAACTGAGTATTGATTCGCCGATATAACCATTAGCTATTCTTGTTTCAATATCCAACCATCAGCTAGACTTTCTTGTTTTAATATTTACCCATCAGTGAGGCTTTCCTGCTTCATTATCTAGCCTAGTTAGGATTTCTTGCTTCAACATCATACCATCAACTAGGCTTTCTTGCTTCAATATCTTACCATCAGCTAGATTTTCTAGCTTCAATCTTTTACCATCACCTAGGCTTTCTTGCTTTAATATTTAACCATTAGTTAGGCGTTCCTACTTCAATAGCTTTCCATCAGCTAGGCCTTCGTGTTTCACTCTAACCGTCAGCTAGGCTACCTTGCTTCAATATCGTGCCATCAGCAAAGCTTTCTTACTTCAATATCCTACCATTGACTAGACTTTCTTGCTTCAATATCTTACTATTAGTTAGGATTTCTTGCTTCAATATCCTACCATCAGGTGTGTTTTTCTTGCATTCTTAACCTTGTGTTGTTTTCAGAATTTAAAAATAACTTTTTCTTACAGCTCTGATCTAACCATTCATTCTCAGTCTTAAATACCACTTGATATATATTCTCAAGTACTTAAAATTGCTATATAACCTTGCTTCTGTTTTATTCATTTACTTACGTTATCTCTGAACAGAATGTTAACAATTTTGTTGCTCTCTTGAACATTTTATCTTTGATCTGCTTTGAGTGTCTGGCTTTGAAATTTGCCTCAATCTCTTTTTAAATTTTATTTTCAACATTTAATCTTAAATCTAATTTCAGCATTTAATTCTTCTCAATATTTGATCTGATACTGTCTTTAACATTTTAACTTGGTACTTTCTTCAGCATTAGTTCCTGATACTCTCTCAAATTAAAAAAATTTCGCCTCACTCTTGTCCTTCCTTTTGACTGGTGGCCCACTGGCGGGTGTATGTAGGAGTGTGAAGGCTCTGACCACTTTCCTCCTGGCGAAAAGCCTCCAGAATCTACTCCCCTGATAGTGGAGGAACCATCAGAACCTACTCCCCTGATAGTGGAGGAACCATCAGAACCTACTCCCCTGATAGTGGAGGAACCATCAGAACCTACTCCCCTGATAGTGGAGGAACCATCAGAACCTACTCCACCAAAACTGGAGGAACCTTCAGCACCTTCTCCACCAATAGTGGAGGAAACACCAGCACCTCCTCCCCTGATAGTGGAGGAACCATCAGAACCTACTCCACCTATAGTGGAGGAACCATCAAAACCTACTCCACCGCCACCACCTAAAGTGGAGGAGCCTCTAGAGGTGGCAGAGCAGGTGAAGGAACATAAGGTGGCACAGCTAGTCTGCCTCTAGTTAAAACTTAGTAATGCATTAGAGAACGAGAAACTTGGCGTGCATTAGACTAGAACTTGCATGATTATTTTGTTGTACGTAGCATGCCATCAAGCACCGTTCACCTGGAAGTCTACTGGGTAGTGTGGCAGATGAGGTGTCATGGCCGCCGCTGTGGTAAGCGCTTCTTTTAATGACGATTCCACTATTCAGAGAATGAATATCAATAAGTGTTTTAATTCGGAGCCACTTGCTTCTCTTCCCACAACTTTCTGCGCTCTTTGGTCAAAACATCAAACACTTTATAGATGCATTTTAGACGGAAATTATAAATGTTTTTTTTTATGATACCGTGTAAAAAAAAGTTGTAATGCATATTGATAAGTGTAAATTGATGTATAAGTAAGTCAGTGTGCAGCCTATAGTCTGTATGCCCGGTAACTGCGCATTATATGCTCTTTTTTTTCTTTATTTAAACACAAGTGTATCATACTAGGCCAGGTGGCACTCTTGTTTGCCTGAATAAGCAAAACCATTCATTCCAATTCATAATGTGTAAATATGGTTAAAATCAAAATTTTGAATGACTATTCATCAAACTTACCAAATATATCTAACCAAATACAATGGCAACAGGGTTAACATGTAGTAATATAGTTTGAAAGAGTATAACACGCATTCCAAGCACTGTAGAGCAAAGCATGATGTGTTAACTTTGTGCTATACTAAACATTATATGGCTATCCGGTAGCAATTTCGAAAGTCCCCCATGCGGGGGTGTTGGCTCATTAAAAATGTGTCACTTGGCATATTACGAGCTCATAACACTTTGTAACACTTGAAAGCTACTGACGTAGCCTAAAGTGCAGCAGTTCCCTGATGGGAGGTGAGAGAAATGTGACGAATTTCCATGATAATCACAGGTTGTTGTTGTTCATCAGGGCGTGGCAGGCAAGAGGACGACTAGCAAGAAGAAAAAGAAGCGATCCAAACTTCCATTTGAGCAGGGCGACAGTGGCGACGGTAAGGAAGCGTCTGATGGCGAGACGACTACCAATCATTCTTGTAGTTTCCATTATTGATCAAATAACTAACTGATGATTATACGTGCATGAGTGGCTTTACTTCGCTTTTTTTTTTAAATGCATAGTCAACTAATCTGAATAGTTCTAGAGTTTGTGGATCATTTACTGGTTTGTAGAATGAGTTAGAGTGGAAGAGTAGTGTTTATTTTGATAATCTCTCCTTGCGGTACACTGCACTGGGCTCCAGCAGGGTTCTCTTACCTGCCACAGGGCGCCATGTTTTATTACCATTACTCACATGTATTTCATTGTCACTACTTTCTGAGTTGTGAGGTGACATCAACGTGTGAGCATGACATAAACTGGCATGTGAATTATATACTAGAAATCGTTTCTAAGGACTATCTTTTTTCCTCCTCCAGTTCACATAGCCATCATATTTTATCATTTATGTGCCTGAAACATTCAATAATATACGTCCACGATTAATTTTTGTAATGCTTTGTTTTTCACTTTTATATAGCATTCTTAATTATCTTCCTGTACTAAATATACTTAAAAAAGATTTCCCAAAACTGTAAAAGACTTTTGCATCATTTCTGCTTTTGGGGGATTGCCATGTCAGCGGAACTTATTTTAAGCCACAGATGAATTGGTTCACGTAGTTTGGATGTTCGTATTTTGTTTTTACTGTAGCCGTGGGAGCGGGTTTGGCCCAGACGTAATCACGATTGGATCCTCAATTTGTGAGAGAGTTGGGGCGTTTCCTGGTATGTTAACCTCTTTGTGTAGACTGTTAATAGCCTCCCCAACCTTCCATTGTCCCCTAGACACGCTTGATAAAGGTTTTTCCAACATTTTAACTTCTGTAGAGGACACAGACACAAGAAATTCCTTCGTGTTAAATTCAACACTCTCAAGATTCGAAACTCTAGGTGTTAAATTAAACACTTGCAAATTCGAAACTCTTTCCATTTTCAACTTTGAACACTTTTTCACAAATAACAGTGGACTAGATGTGTTTGCACTCATTGTAGACAATTGTTAATGTTATTTTTTTATAGTTATGTGATTTAGTAGACACTGCCTGATTGTTTTAGTTTAAATAACATTTATATTAAAATGAGTTTATAAACCTAGAAGGAATAGTGAATTGCTTCCTTTCTGACACCTTTTTGCCTGCATTTTTTATGGAGTGAATAATCGATGTTTACAGTAGGCTAAAACAACAGAGCTGATTCAAGTGATGTTAAATGTAATTGTCTCAAGTATCCAATGTCACAGAACTTAATACTTATAATTAACACATCTGGGAGATTTAGTGTTCATAAGTGTCAAAAATATAATGATATGATGATGACCTTTGACCTGTGGTTTCCTCCTGCGGGTGGACAGGTCTTGGCGTGGCGCAGATCATCATCACTGCGGCGACTCCAATGGTGGAGACACAGGAGGAGGACATCGGCGGCGCTGGCGAGGACTCGAGGGCCGAGGCCGACCAAGACCCGCTGGATAGTCAACACCCAGAGGCCGAGCGCTCCGAGTGCGAGGGGGAGGCACTGGTGCTTGACGACGAAGGCCGACAGCCCCCACCGCCTCCAGCCCCCGAGGGGCCCATGGAGATGCGGATGGAGATGGTGGGTGCGGAGGGCGGCATAGGAGACTTGGAAGGGGAGCGATCACCCTCACCCAAGTCTCCAAGCCCGAGTGACGGTCCACCTGAACTTGACCCGGAGAAACTCAAAGCCTTAGAGAGAATTAAGGAATCAAATGCCTAATGCTAGATTTTGGCCGCTAGTTCAGTGACAGCCTGGTAGTCACAGCTGTTAGGAGACTGCCCACCAACACTTAACACAAGTTTGTAATATACGACACCATAATCACTCCGTGGTGCAGTGTGTGTGTGTTATAACCGAAACATCGCGGTAACATGCGAGATTCCTTTGATGTTATGCGGAACCAAGCAGAAAATACTCACACGTGTAGGCCTACTTACATGTAGGTCATTAAACTTCATACCGCACTTATTAAAAGATCTTGAAGAAACACAATAGTACGCTGTTGGCCTTAGAGACCACCTCAGTTTCACATAACGTGCACAAGTCAAGTTAACGAAACGTCAGCTTGAATAATATGGATAGTAGGCCTAAAGGCCTAAAGTGAGCGTGGATCCGTCCCACTTTGAGTGGACGGCAGGACAGAAGGTCGAGCGACGATGGACAGTGGTGCCAAAGCCGTCGCCCAAGAAATACCGGTCTGGTATAAAATGCAATTGTACAAGAGGTGTTTGTCCCTATTAGAAGTCTATAACAAGCTAACTGTAACGTTTTGGTAACATTTGTGAATACCTCTAACTCTCTCTCTGTGTACTAGTTCCCTGTGAACCTATGCATAATTTTGCTGACGTAACATTTTCTTTAAATTTTCATATCAAATTTAATAATAATTTTGTCTTCATTTAAGCGTGTGCAGGTTTACTCTTTCATTCAATTATCATGTTTTCCTTTCGGAAGGAAGACCAGTGTACATACATCATCCCAGGAGGACATGTACACATACATCATCCCAGGAGGACATGTACACATACATCATCCCAGGAGGACATGTACACATACATCATCCCAGGAGGACATGTACACATACATCATCCCAGGAGGACATGTACACATACATCATCCCAGGAGGACATGTACACATACATCACCCTAGGAGGACATGTACACATACATCATCCCAGGAGGACATGTACACATACATCATCCCAGGAGGACATGTACACATACATCATCCCAGGAGGACATGTACACATACATCATCCATACATCACCCTAGGAGGACATGTACACATACATCATCCCATGTACACATACATCACCCTAGGACATGTACACATACATCATCCCAGGAGGACATGTACACATACATCACCCCAGGAGGACATGTACACATACATCACCCTAGGAGGACATGTACACATACATCATCCCAGGAGGACATGTACACATACATCATCCCAGGAGGACATGTACACATACATCACCCTAGGAGGACATGTACACATACATCACCCCAGGAGGACATGTACACATACATCACCCTAGGAGGACATGTACACATACATCATCCCAGGAGGACATGTACACATACATCACCCCAGGAGGACATGTACACATACATCATCCCAGGAGGACATGTACACATACATCACCCTAGGAGGACATGTACACATACATCACCCCAGGAGGACATGTACACATACATCATCCTAGGTTTCCCAACCATTTTGTATTATTTCTCAAATCTCACATCTGTAAAATATTGTGAAACAATAATTTTCATACAGTATTGTATGTAAATACATTTTTAAGAAATTGAATTATGTAGTGTGATGGTCATAGAAAAGATAAGCAAGTGATTGATACAGACGTGAGGGGTCTAAAGAGTATTTACCTGAATTTACCTGAGGGCCACCAACTCAAGTGGCTTCAACGGAGACAGGAAGCCATGGGGCCTGTCAAAGGTCCCTCTATACATAATGTGCTACTAAATTTTGTAATGAAGAACTCTGTGGATATTGAGAGACTTGTATTGTCCGAAATATTACCTTTTAAGTCTAAATAATTATTCACTTGACTGTGATGGACGCTTGTTGAACTTACAGATGCTCTTAATTTTCTCTGTGCTACTCGCCTTGGAAGGTCACGGCTTGCCTGTCACACAATATTAGCATCTTGAGGCACGTCTGCGCACCACTAACCCAAGAAGCCTCATATCAATTACCGTATTTGCCGGCATATAAAGTGCAGCTCTGCTTACGACACACCTCTACTCTACCAAGGGTAGATTGCAAGAATTTTTCTTTTAATATGTTTCATTATAAATTTCCTGAAAGTGATTTTAAAACGCAGCTTTTCTATTACTACGTTAGTTCACCAAAGCTATGGGTACAAGCTTAAACCTAATGTTATAACATTCCAGCCTATCCACCGGCAAATACACTACTACACCAATGTGAGGTTTAAGGTTAGCAGTTCGTAGTTTAATAGTTCAATATGGTGCATTTTACTGAAGGGGTTTTCCCACTCTTCTGTTCTTAATGGCATACTTATGCCTCCCTCAGTTCTGTGTTTCCTGCCTCATGCTATGTTTGTGGGAATGATGTTCTGGTGAACGATGTTACACTGAGATTTGGTCCCGGGATGTCAAGTAGGCTCTCACCTTTTTTTTTCCAAGTGCTCATGTGTTCAGTTGGAGAAGCGTGTGTCTGAGCAGGGTCTGTTGTGGTGTCTGTGTTGGGAGTCTTGCTAGCCTTGTGGTCGCTAGCCACAGCTGCCTCTGAAGAGTGGGGGTTCACAAATATATTATATATTATATATATATATATATATATATATATATATATATATATATATATATATATATATATATATATATATATATATATATATATATATATATATATATATTAGTTTTCCCACCATATATATATACCTCTATAGGGTAAAACTAACCTGTCTCACGACGGTCTAATCCCAGCTCACGTTCCCTATTGGTGGGTGAACAATCCAGCGCTTGGTGAATTCTGCTTCACAATGATAGGAAGAGCCGACATCGAATGATCAAAAAGCGACGTCGCTATGAACGCTTGGCCGCCACAAACCAGTTATCCCTGTGGTAACTTTTCTGACACCTCTCGTGTGTGTTCATTAACAAGGGGTACTAAATTAGCTGCTACAGTACAGTGATGGCACAAGTAGCCAGTTTCAAGTGATTTAAAACCCACACCCAGTATGACTTGAGTGTGGGACGAGAATAGGCTAGCAAGGCATTAGGCTATTTTTCAGTGGCCGACTTCACGACAGGTGTTGTCATGTGAGATTATGTCTCGTTACTGTTCTGGGTCTCTCTTGACACCTGTCTTATGAACGGGTGTTATCTTCCACTCTACTCGGTCATAACAGTATTTAACAATCAAGAGAAGAACATGATTGTGTGTACTCGTCTAGTTGTGCTTGCGGGGGTTGAGCTTTGGCTCTTTGGTCCTGTGTGTGTGTTAGAATGTGTGCTTGAGCATATGTGTGTGTAAATAGGCGAAAAACTTCGTAAATAACTCATTCATATGGACAAAAAAGGTTGAATGCAAGACACCAGAGGGACCCATCTTCCCTCTCTTCCTTTCCCCGTAAACAAAGCGTTCTTAATCTATGACTATCTTTACCTAAAACAAAGCTTCTAATACAAGGCATCACCACCCAAACTATCTACCACAAATTATTCCTTAGAGGTAAATAATGACCCCCTATTACATATTATCATGTTTTCTATAAACAAAAATAAAGCGTTTGCTTACTGGATGATAAGTGAGATTTACATTTCTTTGTACAAGTCCGGTTCTTAGTTCCAGATATATGCGAGGAACGTCATTATTGCATAACAGCTACTATATATATATATAATTCTTCCAGCACAGTATCGCACAAAGTAAAAACTTGATTACCGTATAACAAAAATATATTGTGTTCGCGCATGTGTATGTGTAACAAAGAATACATTATGTCCTTGCAAGAACGTGTATAACAGAGAATGTATTGTGTTCGCGCATGTGTATGTGTAACAAAGAATACATTATGTCCTTGCAAGAACGTGTATAACAGAGAATGTATTGTGTTCGCGCATGTGTATGTGTAACAAAGAATACATTATGTCCTTGCAAGAACGTGTATAACAGAGAATGTATTGTGTTCGCGCATATGTATGTGTAACAAAGAATACATTATGTCCTTGCAAGAACGTGTATAACAGAGAATGTATTGTGTTCGCGCATGTGTATGTGTAACAAAGAATACATTATGTCCTTGCAAGTACGTGTATAACAGAGAATGTATTGTGTTCGCGCATGTGTATGTGTAACAAAGAATACATTATGTCCTTGCAAGAACGTGTATAACAGAATGTATTGTGTTCGTGGAAGTACGTGTATAACAGAGAATACATTGCATTCGTGCAAGTGCTTGTATAAATAAATAATACATTACTTTCGTGCAAGATCAATTCCCACCTGCAACCAGTCTTACAAAATGCAATTAAGCTCGCCGTTCATATCCTTTCCCATCTTCTATGGTCAATCTTCACTAAATTAAGGTATCATTCTCGGTACTTTAATTTATCGATGGCGGAATCAATTTGAGTACCAGTTATTGTTCATGCTTCAATTTTAAGATTATTTTCTTTGTGGCCTTCAGCGTTCAGTAAGCCTTAAGTTTAAAATGAAGTAATATTAGTGCTTTGTAAACTTATAACAACATCGACGTTTCTTTGAGCGTTTTAAACCCATAATATCGACGTTTCTTTGAGCGTTGTAAACCCATAACAAGAACATTTCTTTAAGCGGTGTAAACCTATAACATGGACGATTCTTTGAGCGTTTTAAATCCATAACATGAACGTTACTTTGAACGTTTTAAACCCATAACATGAACGTTTCTTTGGGCGTTGAAAACCCATAACATCGGCATTTCTTTGAGCGTTATAAACCCGTAATATTTCGGACGTTTCTTTGAACATTATAAACCAATATCATCTTTCTTTTAAAGTTGTAAACTCATAACATCGGCGCTTTGAATGTAACAGACTCAACATCGACTGTTTTATTGAAATAAACTCATAACAGCAACGTCCTTTTGAACATTTATTTTTTTCTCAACTCACGGGAAATGGACAATATAAAACAATTTTTTTTTTAATCTTTACACAGCAGAGGATACATGTATCCGGAGAGTTGATAGACATAGCTAGTTTCTGTGGGTTAAGTTGATATATATATATATATATATATATATATATATATATATATATATATATATATATATATATATATATATATATATATATATAATGTGTGTGTGTGTCTGTGTATGAAAAAGAGTTGAAATTTCTATGTCGAATTCATTGTTAAAATTATCAAATATTTATGAAAATGTATATAGAACCAATTAGAATTACATATTACAAATATGAGTAGGTTGGGCGATGCTAAACCACGAGACTGCTGACATTTTGCTCTATATGCATAGTACTGTGGTGTAAGTGACCGACTGCGCCCGGGTCTCTTTCTCGGTTCATCTCTCTCCCCCAGTCTTCTCACCCCTCTCTCTTCCCCTCTCCACCTTTCTCTCTCTCTCTTCCAACATATCCTCTCTCCCCACCTCTCCTCCCCCTTCAAACAAGCCCCCCCCCCTCTCTCAACCCTGCTACGAACAACACAACCAATATTTCTGACTTAACGTCATGAAAATCGTACGGGGGGGGGGGGGGTAAATGCCGATATTTCTGAAAATGTGGCACTGGAGCCGACCCCGGTTGGCCTGTGACATTCCCATGCCCCACACTCTTCATGTGCAAAAGTTGGGTGAGGCTAACCCCAAACGTCTGGCCTCTGGCCTCGGACAGATATACAGACTTTCTTATATAGATCGATCAGAAACAAGATTTATAAAATTACTTGAAAAGTCAAGTACATGAACAAATCCACAAGGGCCGTGATGAGGGATCGAACTTACGCCCGGCCCTTGTAAATTTATTCATTTGATGCATCACGCAATTGTGATTTTTGTGTGTAGTGTGTCAAGTACATACCATAGAGCCCATCATCATCATCCCAGCGCCTTCAAGGAATCCGTAGGACCGCCGGAACCAAAGCGGTATATTTTCAACCACAACCCAGACTTTGTTAACTTATTTCCAACTGCTCATGTTCTAATTATGACTCAGTTATATTAGATTTGTACTTTGTGCAAACGAAATTAAAATAAG